TAATAATTAACTGAGTTTCCAATTTTCTTCTTCATATGACTAGTCATCTTCAGTATTATGTTATTACTAAACTATGCTCTTTTTTCAAAGAATTCGTATATTGTTTACAAGATTGATTTAATCTTAGTTTCAGAACCTTACAGGAGCTGACCATAGATGACCTATTTGTAGTTAAAATTCAGGTCATCGGTAGATATTTCAACCTAACCACACAACAGCTTGTCATGAATTATAATTCCAGTTCCCTGATCTTTACACCATTTCCATATTAATTGTGTTTTAATCAAGTTCCAACAGTAAGGCTCCTATAAAAGCATCCAAAAACATCAAACCACTTAAGTCCACTTTCCTGCAATGGTGTCTGACAATATTACCAAAGAAGTCAAAGTGGTAATATAAGGTAGAATAAAGTAAAGCATACTTTTACTCTCGCAGGGGACTAAAAAGATTTTTTTTTTCATGTGAAAAAATGAGGATGATTGTTCTCGTTTCAGCAAATAATAGAAAGTTGCATGCACCAAATAAGATACCTGAACAGAAAATAAATATAACCAATAGATTAGGATGTTTATATATAAGCTAAAATAATCCTACACGCTAGTGGCTTTTAAAACTTCCAACTTGCTTTTGTTTAGCTTTTTGCAATAATTCTACAGCATTTAATTCTTTTATCTATAAATATTCTGCTTATGAATGTTAAGATACTGCAGCAAGCAAACTTTTATCAGAGATTAAAAATGCACACTGATGCAACAGCAGATAATTATTTCCTCTTCCGACCTTACTAGACAATCAATGACACCAATCGAATGCCCCTTTCGTTATCTGAAACTGTGACAACTATGAAGTCGGAGGTCCCATGTCTAAGTTTTCATGGCCGGCTCAATGGAAATTAAACTTGATAAGCCTGGAATCACATGGCTTAAAATGCTTAAGCCCAACAAAGTAGTAGTAGGTTCATCTAATCCTATATAATCATATTATCCTCCGACTTCTACTGTGGGACTAAATTGGAAGTGATGATCTCCACTAGTCAAGTCTAGTGTGGAGTTGGGGTGTTTCAATCTTCACTTTTTAAGTCTATAATGTGGCCTACTACTACTTTTCTCTCTCACTTAAGTTTAATGTTCTCATTCCCTTTTAAATCTCTCCCACTTAAGGTTTAATGTCCTTGTGTCCCCTGTATATCTAGTGTTGGAATAAATCTCTCCCATTAAGGTTTAAGATCCTTGTCAATGTCTAAAGGTTATGACAGTTCAGATTCATGGCCAAAAAGGTAGTGTTTAGCATAGCCTTTGGCTCAAGCAGTGATATGTCCCTCCAATCTTATACATGCGTTGATACTTTTCACTTGGCCTCGCTCACTATGCCTAGTACTAGGTTAGCTCTAACATCAATTGTCATAATCCAATACGATGGAAAATCTGATCAGTTAATTGATAGGGTCTGAAATGATATGACTTAAATGCTTAAACCGAAGTTGATGGTAATATGTCCATTTAGCCCTATATATCGTCTCATCTATTGCCCCACTTTCAATATGAGATGAAATTGGAGTGTTATTTGAGTAGCTCTGAAATCTATTATCTACCTCCAAAAATGAAATCTTAACCTATGTAAAGAAAACAAAAGGAAAAAAAGGAGTCAAAGCAAATATACGAAACGGCAAATGAAGTTATTTTCTGTTTGTCATATATCTAAAGTTTGAAGATATGCAATTTCATTACCATATACAACATCGAAGAATAGGATCAACCAAACGAGAAGATAAGCCAAATGAGAAGTATCAATAGTTACAAGTTCTACCTCCAAAATCTATGCTTTTGAAATGGATCAACCAAAACCCAGCATAGAAGGGTTTCATAGGCTGCAATGCTGGCAGTGTCGTCGATATTTTGGTTCATTCCAACATATCTAATGTTTTCATTCCAAAGCACATCAAGAAGAAAATTCCCATAGATTTCATCACCAACATGACCAAGGGTGAAACATGACAGTCCTAGCCTTGATGCAGCTATGGCCAAGTTGCAGTTACCACCAGCTTCCCAAAATTTCTAGACATGAATTAAAAATTATTCATGTTACGTATAACTATAACAGAAATCAGGGTTGGGATCGAAAGAAGATGGGTTTTGTAGGATTAGAAGTAGGAAGCTGTTCATTTTCTGAAGGTTTCACTATTCAGTAAGTTATACTCATGGAATGAAGACACTTTAAAACATGCAAGAGGATACAAGCATTTGTGTACAGATTTCAGCTTAATATCACTGAAACATTTCAACACTATCATAGGGTAATAATAAAAAGGAAAAAAATGGCACGACCTTATTAACAACATCCTGAAGTCAATAATTTGCAAAAATTGTGCTCTCTACTTTTGGTGAACCAAATGGCCTCTCAGCAACAAAGGAGTTGGCCAAATGAGTAGCATGCTTTATATCCATTGCTAAAAACAAGGGATGTGCTAGTTAGTATAAATTAATGATAGAAGAATTTGAAGACTGAGTAAATATCGGATGGCTTAAAATTCTTAGGTATACATCTTGCTTGGACCTATTTTGATAAGAGACTTGTGGTCAAGACTAATAAAAGCACAGCATTAGATCACAATTCGACTAGCCATGCCCTCACCTTTGTTCTCCTTATCAGCTAAGTTCTATAGTTCTGCAATATTAGAAACGTATAGGTCACCAGTTCATAACATCAACCAAGATCTATTTTCCTTGCAGAAAATTCTATCCACTTATGAACATAGATCACCCTCTATATCATCAGATTGTGTTGTAGTACTTCTATATACAGGACTTATTATATTCTGCCAAATATTTTGGGAAAATGGAATAATATGGTTGAAATAAGTACTGGAAAAATGCTGCAATTAGAAACATCAGAATTGGGTAACAGTATTATTAACAAATGTAGACCTTTCATGTGATCTTTGTGTAACAAGATAAAAGTGGATAATTTTACTACAACTTCTCTTTCCCTTAGCATTACTATGAGTTCGAATCTGGACCGGACTGGTTAGTCAGACCGAAAAATCATGAACCTAACCAGGTTCGATTCATTACTCAGATCATTTAGTATAAAAGACCGACGTACCATAATAACCCCCTTCAAAAGGTTTTTATGACATGATTAATAGTTTGAATGTACTCTATCTAAGATGTCTTGGATTCGATTCCTTGATTTTTTTTTTTCATTTGTGTATTAATTTATATGTCAAATCTAATATATATAATTTAAATTCTTAAGGATATTTAAATCATTTTATCTTGAAATGGATAAAGAATATTATATTATATTACATTTATCACTATCTATCGCCTGGTATGTCTATTTTCGTTCCTATCATACATTTTTTACTATATTATAATTTATTTATAATGTTATTAATATATATATATTTTATTTATTTATTTATAATGTTAACCCACCGGATCAACCGATGATCCAATGTCACAAGACTTGACCGGATCGATGTTTAGTCCGTCTATGATGTCTATGGTTCAAATGTTTGTTTACTTCACGACCTCCATATCTACTATTCCACCAACCACTACCTATACCACATTTACAGAGGCGAGCAACGCAGAAAGTGGAACAAATTGGAAGCAAATAACTGAACGAAAAAAGGAACAGAAAAAGAAAAGCTCCCTCTCTACCAACCTTATCCGGAGGAGAAGCCGCCACCGCTCCATGTACCCCCGGTGCTCCGCCGTGGAGGCCGGAGGCAAGCTGGGGACGTCGAGAACCACGTCGACGCACAGATTCCCCAGCGTCGCGATGCCTACATTCTTCTGCACCCCCTTCCTCTCCCTCACGACGCCCAAGGTTGCGGGAGCCATCCGATTCACCCCTCCCGCGGCGACGATCCGGGTGCCTGCGCGGCAACCGACGGCGACTAGCGTCGGCGGGAGGACGACTCTCCGGCGGGGGAAGTGGAGGAGCGCACGGCCCTCGACGGGAAGCGAGGGTTTGGGCCTCCAAGCGACCCATCGAGGGAAGCGAACGAACGAGAGGGACGGAGGGCGAAGTGAGATATTTATTGTGCTCCGGGGAACGGTTTTTACAAATCAGTCCTTATCAAAGTATTAATTTCATTTTAGCATATACATGTAATGCTTAATAATACAAGTCAAGTTAATGACTATACATAATATATATCGATGTGTGGATATAATTTGGAGGATTAAAAAATATTTTTGAAGGATAAATAATGAAGATGAAATATAAATATAAGATATTGTGATATATTAGATGAGATTTAACGTGTGGGCTATTTTTTATGGATAAATGGAGCTGCGATGGTGTCTTTAATTTACTTGAATGACTATTCCTGTTCGATTATTTTTGTCATCCAACTTGATGATGAAATTAGGTTCTCTGTAGTTGTTTATAAAACGGGTATAATTTTGGTATCATTGGATGAATTAATTATTTCTAAAAATATTGGATGATACACGTTAATATCCTATTTGATATCTTAACTAATAGGAGATACGTTGTCGACTAATCATTCGATACATCATCGTCATTATGATACCTAAAGAGGGAGGAGAAGACGAAGCTTCTATCACAAGCTTCATTCTTATCCTTTACAACTAAATATAAAAGCTCATCTTTAACACAAATAAGAAAGTTCATTCTCATATCTCAAATTACTAACTTGGACATTGGACCTGGATTGGAAAACCTCTCCCAACCTTGATCTTTATGTATGTAACATCTTAGAAGCTCGTCGTTTCCATCTCCGAGGCACCTTGGATAACTCAACACATACAAGCCTGGACTATGTTAGGTTGATCAAAACATGTCAACAACATTTTCCCATAACATTAGTCAAATGACTCACTTACCAAAGATTAAGGTTCAATAAGTATTTTAATCCATATACAAATTCAACATATGAATTCATGAAATATATGGACTCGTAGATCCGAATTCTTTACATCACCAATAAGGGATAAGCAAATTTAAGGATTGATTTTTGTATCCGAATTAGAAAAAAAATCAATAGATATATAAACTTCCATGATGCTTGATTTATGAAACAAACATCGTGTATTATTTTCATCATTTACATGTAAATTGTGTCCGTAAAAGAGAGACAAAAAGAATCAGCCATCATATGACGAATCCGTCCCCAATTGTCGAGTTCTTCAATATGATGGTGACGCCAGATCGTATATAGAAGCCTTCAGCGGATCTATCAGCTTCTTGTATTCCCTGTGACCGTGCATCAAATTATAGAAACCATCACTTACTATAAAACTCTGAAAGCAAAGTAACTACTTTAGACATGCAAATTCTTTCACAGGAGAAAAAAAAAACAAAAAATAAGAATTTTTTTTTTTGGACATGCAAATATAAGACGAACATGTAGAAATATAGTTCAGATCGAGATTCATTATCAATACTAATGACAGATGAATCACAAGATTGCAAAGAAGATTAAATGTAACTTCTATACTTTGTGAACTATCAGTAGGAAAACTTTGTGAGGATCTACCTCTCTAATATAACAATGTAGCTTTTCTCTACAACATTCACAAGCAAATATGTCTAAATGATTTCAGGTAAAATAAAATCCAAATGAAACTATACAAAATGTGAGAGAAGATGAAGGCAAATATCGTGGAGCTAATTTCATATATGACTAGAACAGATACTAGTAAGTGTGGTCTATATGTAGCTTTTGATAAGATTTAAGAAAACCATACATCTGAGTTTGAAATTATCACATTCTTCCCAATCCTTGCATTCTTGTCAATTATGCAATTCCTGTAATGTAGACAAAAGGAACATGGATGTGAAGCACATATCACAAATAGAGTCATAAGGCTTTAAGACTGTAAAATGGGAAACAATAGAGGGTACCTTATCTTTGTGTTCTCTCCAATACCTATAGGGACCCTCCCTTCAGCTAATAAAGATGCTGTTTCAGCATCTGTCTCATAGTAGTCAGCACCTAACATAACTGTATCCTGCATACATGCACCCACACGAAGGTAAAATTTACTATCGTGATAGGGCAATTGGTAGTACAGAAAATTGTCTTTGATATGGGTCTTTTTCTAGGATCAAGAAACAAACCTTCAAGTGCACATTAGAGCTTATTCGAGATCGGATTCCAATCACACTATGCTCTATCAAGCAGTTGTCCATGAAAGTTCCATGGGAAACAATTGAATCAACAATCTGAAATTGATGTATGGAGAGTAAAGTGATAGCTAATAACCAAATAGATAGATAACATGATATGGCATATATCAGGTGTATGGATAAAAGACATCACATGCATTTGATGGATCTATGGAATTCATAAGGTAGTAAGTAAATAGAAATTTAGATGTCTCTCATGCACATCACAGTTATCATGATGTTTAGTCTGCTGCTTAAACTATTTAAGCTCAATACAAATAAGGCTGCAAAGAGTTTGCTGTTGTGGTCATACTTAATATACCATCGTTACAAATGTAATTTCACATGTAAAATATTCTTGAAATTTAAAGGCACAAAACTCAGCAGTAAAAAACCTCTACGAAAGCTGCACAACTCCAAGGTTGCAAATTTAACTAATAGATGATGTCAGGTTAGACAATCTATGACTTAACCTGAAGTTGGACATGTCAGTACTTAAAAATTTTGAATTTATGCCAAAAATTTCAGCTGCAACTAGATTTAAGTTGATAAGAGACTAGATAAATCCTAACCAATTTTCAAGGCCAGTAATCAAATGAGAAACAATCATTCTTGATGGGGCAAGTTTGGCAATACTGTGAACAGAAACAACACTAAGATGTAGCAGTCTGACAATACTTTTATCATTAATAGCTAAATTTAGTTCTGTTCATCTATGTAATGTTTAAACTTTAAATAGTATCTGAGACCAATTATGAAAATTTAGGAGGCTAGCACATACAATAAATGCCTAGAACCACCATGCTTCACCTGCAAGAATTATTTTGTCTTTAGATTACGTGATTGTAACCACCACTAGGTGCAATGTATATGACCCATATTCATTTTCAGTAGTGACATTGACAACATAGAGTGGCTACACCAAGTTCAAGCAAGATTAGAATGCCATTTGCTGGAAATGAAAAAAATGCATTGCTTAACTCATGGTATATCTCAACCAGGGTCTGCAGTACCGAACTGTACCGCCCGGTATGGGCGGTACGTACCGGTCCGACAGGTTGCCGGTACGCGGACCGCCTGTTACCAGTCCGAGTGCACTGTAGCACTGTAACAGTGCTACAGTACTCGGCACACCTGGGTGTACCCCTCTGTATACCGTACCGTACCGGTACCAAGCCCAGGTCGAAATACCGGTACGGTACGGTATTGCGAACCTTGATCTCAATAAGATCTTATTATCATCAAAAGGACACCAATATTTACATATATTTAAACTGGGAAATTAACCAACCTTGCTGTTGTCAACCTTTGACGGGGGTAAGTTTCTTCTTGATGTATACGTTGGCTTTGTTGCATCATAAAAGCTGAAGCGTGGTGGCTGTATGGTTGATTAAATCATTAGAAGATAATGTATGGTTATTAGTACAAGAAATAATGTCAATAATAACTAATAACAAGTCAAAGTTCATATCATAAGTATGTGAATAATTCATGATTAACAATTTAACACTACAATTCAAGTCACTACTTGGTACATTCAAGCTTAGAACTGAACTCCATATGAGAAAACCTAACAATTATCTATGCCTAGCGGGGCAATAATTGATCATGAGGAGGTGCATATCTATCGAAGCTTTCTTAACCATTACTCCATGCAAAATCAAATTCCAAAGTTAATTTGATGGCCTTCAACCTGAGTCGATGCTTAAATTCATATTACAGGTACTGATATTCTATTCACACCATGTCTAGGTAATACAACTGAGATTTTAACATGTATAACCAACTAGGAGGTTTTAAACAATGTACATGGTAATAATTTATTGCATGTAAATATATCTCTTAAGGTATTATATGGAGACAAAAGGAATAAATTCAAGGCCAAGAAAGTGTGAACATTCCACTGCTTGCTTTCTTTTTCTTTTGTAGTATCAATACCTTGGGCTTCCCTAGTATCTCAAAAGCTTGTAACATATCAAGATTTGTGCTTTTAATTTGGAACATTGTTTTTAAGTGTTCTTATCTCTTCTTCAGTTTTATCCTCTCTTTCCCATTGTTTCTCTTTTCAAGCGCCTATCATTTTCTTGTTTCCACTTTATTTCTTCTCTATGTTGTGCAGTTTGATCTATGTTGTTGCAACTTGCAAATACTTGCTAATTCTTTGTACACACTGGATGCTTGCTTGATATACTTTTAGAAATTGATTTCATCAATCTTGAACTGTCATTTCAACTCTAAACTGTTGTTTTCTCTATACAGTAAGTAAAAGCTTATATTTTTCTTTTCAACCGAGATCACAAAGAGGTTCACTACATTGACTAGTCTTTACCGTAGCAGTAAATCAGGCCTCAATCAAAGTAGCATATTATCAGGAATTTCATCGATATGACATCACTTGTTACATCTTTGCTCCACATGAATGTGCCACATTATATTTCTATAATTTTTTTTCTGTGATTAATTTGTTTGCTAACTTGCTTCATTTGTAGCACTTATATGTGACTTGTTTGCACTAGCTAAGATTAGGAAATGTAGGTATTTCATTATAACCATACATGCAATCAAGGGCATGCAGTGAAAAGAGTCTAATCCAATGAGGTTCTGTGGAAGGTAAGCATTGCGTTATATCTTTAACATGGGATGAGTGGCAATTGACTTCCAGTGTCCTGCAAGTACTTAATTTCTTTTGGCATTCAGCTCTTGTTTTATTGTGAAGACTAAATAGGCTTAACAAAGGTTAACAATTTTCTGTTACTTTCTCTGAGATTTTAGTCATTGCAGGACTCCAAGCATATATTTCATCTAATTTTTCTATCTTTTCTCTCCTAAGGAAAAAGAAAAAGTATATAGAAAGAAAGATAAAGGGAAGTCGTCTATATTATATGATGAGTCAACATATTTGACTCTAAGGCTATCGACCATGTCAGATACAGCATCAACAGAATATATAACTAGATGCAATCAATTTTATGCTACAACATTCATGACAGGGCATATGTTGATGATCTACTTGATTTATGATGCCACAATCTATGCTGTTCTTGCTCCGATGCTACAACACTATCACTACAAAGTTTTTAGCTACAACTAGGAGAAAACAATTGCAATATAATATGTTGTAATAGCAATTTAAGAAAACCAGGAAATGAAGAAAATTAATAGAAATGCAAGGCCAGTGAAAAATAACTTGGATAATTTTGAATGCTAAGATATCAGTTACAATAAAAGGAGTAACAAAACCATATCAGAGATATACAAGGTTAGTAAAAAACAGTTAATTGGATTTAATAATGGAAACATATTGGTATTAATAGGTAGAATATGGCATTGATCATTATGGTAGATGTAACATGATGCCGTAAATGATGTAGAATAGCATCAAAGATTACAGAAATTATGCAAAGTGACCTACATAGCAGTTAAAGAGACTGAAAAGAAAGTCCAGAAATGTACTAATATGCGGACATTGTCTATGTATGACAGAATATATTACATTAAAGTAGAATTCTCTTGAAACTTTTTATTGAAAAACACTAAAATTTTATAATTAGTTTGAACTTATAGCTCTTTAAGTCGAGTGCTTTAGCATAGAGTAGCGGTGGTACTGAATAGAGCATCAAGCAACCAAAGCTAGAATACTTAATTGATGAAAAATCTAGAGTCTCGTTTACTGTGCACTGATCCTCAAAAAGCTCTTAGTGTAGTCAGATGTCACAGAAAATGAAAAAAAGGAAACGCATGCACAAAAGTAAAGTAGTTACTGGAGCATAAAAAGCACTTACATGTGCAGTAAGGGCAAGATTTGCTTCAAAGAAAGATTTAATTGTCCCGATGTCTTCCCAGTAATCATTAAAGAGATATGCCTGTCAAAAAGGTCCTAACATTTATTAGACAGTGAGGAAGAATAAAATAAGTGGCATGTCTATCAATGGGGATAAACAATCCATGCTTCTAGATCTTCAGAAGCACAGGTTTGAACTAAATGATCTACTGTGTGAATGCATACAATTTACTTTAAAGGGGCAATCATGATATGACTGATGACTCCAGATAAGAAAAGCAATTCAAATTGACAAAAGATCCAAATTTTAGAATATTTTGATGAAAGATCACCAAGTTTGGTCAATTCATGTTCAGAGATCTCTAACCCCTCCACCATGTGTTATCTGATGAACATACTTTTTAATTGTTTCCATTTACTATTAAGATGCCTTGCAACCTTGGAACTAACAGTTCCTAAGTTAAAAACTCAGAAATTAGCTCAATAACTAAGTTTCTTATGTACCAAATAAAATAGATGCTCATGTCAAACCCAAAACTCAGTATTCTCAGTGATCTTTGGAATGGGTTGTCTCCAAGCAATCCTAGGAACCATAAATTGAGAGCTAAAAAGCAAATATGAAAATACGTTATCATGATTAAAAAAAGAAAATCTGATTAGAAATAAAATCAAAATACATGGAACACCTACATAAAGACTTTGCTAAAAAGTAATAATCAAATGCAAGCATTTGGGATATTGACATAAAGCAATGGAGAATTAGTATTCAATATTTAACAAAGCATCATATCAAACTCCCTAACAACTGATGCATTCACAGGGTCCAACTTCCAGTGAGTATAAAAGGATTTTATATATCAAGTTATGGATTTGACCGTAATTCCAAAGTTAAATACTATTTATTCATACTGTTAGAAACAATATGAATATCACAATCACAGATAAGAAATTAAAAAGGTCAAATGCTTCATTGAATCTAACACTTGATTTAGAAATAAGCAACAGACCTTGATGAAGAACTCTTTAGCAGAGGCAGGAATTATTTCAGATCCAAAGTCATTTGCAGTGGGAAACCGCCATCTGGCCCAACAATGATGCATAACATGTAAGGCTCCTGTTTAACAATGCTTACTGGTGACAGAGTTGAATTCTCCAACAAAAATATAGTTACTTATGCAGTATCTGTATCACGTCAAAGAGAACTTGCAAGAGGCAATTGCTTTTCAATGCTACCTATGTGGTAGCAGATAGCACTTTGCAAACATCAAATACAGAGGACAGATACATAAGAAAGCATGTTCCCAGTCATGGCTAATCTAAGGCAACCAGCATGTGCAGGCCACATTTAAGGATATTAAAGAATAAAGATAAAAGACTAAAAGGAAACTAACATAGATACTCTTGATATTTGATTCAGTGCCAAGGATGTATCATAAAATTTCTTATGGACTCCCAAAAGAACTGCCCATGTTAATGTATACAAACACATCTCTCTCCTCAGTACATGCCACTTCATCAGAATTTATTTAATGTCATTCTGGATTTTGTTCCACAAATTCAATTGAGGGCATTAGACTTGTGGACTTCCTCTTTAGACCCTCGAATAGCCCCATGTAGGGTGTGACTATAGCTTGAGATAATATATGAGTTGCTAAGCACTCATAAATGCATCCTTCAAGGACTACTTTTTGTGGGCTTGACCAAAAAGGCTTTTGGGCCTAATAGTGATAAAAATGGCACCAAAAGAAAAATCAATTTGAGCAATATTGAGACTTATTATGCATTATAGTGAATCTAAGATTCAACAGGGATAAACACCACAGATGGTAGGAGTGACATTGTGGGTCAGGGCTTCACAATCCCACATTGCATCTTTTGCTAAGACAAGTAAATGTATCTGGATGTCTAAGGCATCAATCATTTAAGAGGGGAGTGTGACATTTTAGAATACCCACATTGAATGTGAGCTATAGCTACACCATGAGTCACTATTTACCATTAAGAAACACAATACTTCTTTTTGGTCCCATCCAGTAGCAACCTCCCATCCAACATTCGAACTGTGTGTCCACATACACTTCCCATCTAAAAACAGCCCTTACATAAACATGAAAGAAACAAAAAATTCAGATTAAATATAAAAATGCCTTAACTAACATACTGGTCTCATCTGTGCACATGACACTAGTGACTGACAATATTAAGATACATAGAGCATACATATTGTCCATTAGCATTCCTTCAAGTACAGATGCTTCAGCCTTCATGAAAGCTGAGGTATCTAAATGATAAAGATGCAATCATATATCCCCTTGTAGAAAAAGTTCAGTATCACCATGTACACAAAACTAGATGCAGTAGGATTGAAGAGTCATACCTGAGAAGATTTAGAAGTAGCTCCTTCTTGAATACATATACTCCCATTGAAGCTATATATGGGTTCTTTGCTGCCTCTTCCTTTGACAACCCCAAGACACTGGTATCCACTTCCTATATTACCATAAAACAAAAAATATCACTGTCAAGTAGAGAGTGGTGGGTTTTAACTAGACTGAATATGAATGGATGCATCCATGCTGTGCCGTGTCCTAAGTGACACACCATCTCAAAGTGTGACATGAAAAAAGCACAAAAGATGCATATCTTGGTCAAGTCACCGGGAAGATCAAGAGGATGGGATGAGTGGAAGTTACCATCGCCTTCAAATCTTCTCCTTTTGGTTTTTCACTGAATGAAATAACTCTTCCTTTATTGTCTATCTTCATCAAACCAAAATCTGAAGCACGGCTGACAACAAAATGAAAAGAAAAAACTCAATTTGGAAACATTAGTAAACTCAAAGATGTAGCTTGAAGGTACTCAAAATTTGATCATCCAAAATATATAAAAGGTTACAATTCCCTGACCAACCAAATGAAGAACTTATAAGTTCTCTAAGGATAAAACATAGATGAAGTTTTATGCATTAATTTATCATAAATCTTTACTTTGTTATTCCTCGAAAGTCAACCCAAGAAGTCAATGCTTAACTTCAAAATGATTCAATGCTGAACTTAAAAATCTAGAAAAACAATTTACCACATGATGTTTCATCAAAAATTTTATGATGAAACTTGAAAGAAGTTCCCAGATAATATACTAGCAAGTAGCAACTAATAACTGTATTATTTATCGAGTGCAAAAAGGACAAAAGAAAGTTTGACAGACATAACAATTGGTACTGAGTGAATGCAATTCTCATTAGTGATAATATGGAAACATTTAACTGAATGCAAGAAAGCAAATGCCTTAGATTTGTTGCTAGTTGATTTATCTATATTTTTGCCATCTAAATACTTGGGCTACATTTAATACCAGATGCCCTAAATCTAACAGGCAACATCTATTTTTAAAAATGATAATTGTTTTAAACTGGAAAAGCTGCTTGTCCTATTCCGAGGTTGTGTTACTTTGGTTAATTAGTCTTACTATCAATTGTCTATTTCACTTCTCACTAGGCAAATGGATTTTTTGAAGTAACCATTCAATTACCTGTCATCCATCGGCATGCAGGAAATGGTAATATCAGCACCACTTTGCCGATGATCCTGAAAATAAACAAATTTTTTATATTAAAATAATTTTGACATATAGATGCATGGATGACTGTTACTTTAACACTAACCTGAACAAAGTCCATATAATCCATACGGTATAGATGATCTCCGGAGAGAATTAGCACATCCTTTATATCCTTGCCTTTGGCATCCTTCAAATTTAAAGCAGAAAAATAAAATCAGTAAATAGGTTTCCACAATATTAAAGATTAATCTGTTAAACAATGGTAAAAGTAGAGTAACATATGAGTAGTTATGCAATATAATAAGTTGTGGGGTGGCATGACAATCCAAAAAGGCCAAAACATTATTCAAACAGAAGCATTCTGTTCTGCATAATGGAGTCCAAGGTTCCTAATTTTGCCTGGACTGATACATACTGGATTGTATTTACCGCTCTGGATGTAAACAAGACACTGACTGCCCCTTGTTAGATGGTCCAGCCCAGTTAATTCTTTTTTCAAGGTTAAACAGCAACCTCTCTAACATGGTTATTTATGATTAGTAATTTAGTAGAAATGTCAACTAATTACTATGTGCTCAATCTATCAAGATCCAGACATAAATGAGTCACGGACTGCCCCTTATTGGATGGTCCAGTCCACTCCATTATTTTTCAAGGTTAAACAGCGACCTCTCTAACATGGTTATTTATGATTAGTAGAAATGTCAATGAATCACTGTGTGCTCAATCTATCAAGGATAAATTAAATATGCCATCATTATCAGTATCCATTCAGCACATAACTGAAGAAGTTACTACTTGAGTCATCAACTTGATATGTAAGTGTCATCTACAAAAGTTCTATGTGATTACAATTTCATGAAAGAAATAAAATTGTAATTGTCAATAAAATTGTTACATGGAAGAAAGCAATGGTGAAATCTTTCTCCAAAAATGTTCGTAATCTAGATTTTATAAAGAAAAGGCTGATATCTTGATGTTTAGCAATTGAATGTAGAGAAAGGTCTGGGTTTAACTTTTTAAAGGCAAAAGAGGGTAAACATATTGAGCCTGATGGTAAGTGTCAAGACAACAATGCAAAATTGGCTACTTGTAGAGTCTAGCTTTGATCTTCATGTTGCTTCTCTATAGTTTTGCTTAATTCAGTACTGACAAGTCATATAGAATAACCACAAGTGGCATGAATTAGATGTGTTATACCTAGCAGAACTTAAGTTTCTACTAGCCCAAGGGAGTTTCGCACTAAGCCATTCTGTTGAACTGTGCTGTGATGGCACCAACTATTCTGAACTATGGCCAATTCAATTTTCGGCTAGTTTCAACAGGCACAAAGTAATGTCAATGCCAGCCACCAAGTTAATTTTAAATTTATTTCAACTGGCAAAGGGGCTGAAATAGTTATAATGATTTGATTGCATGCTGAAAATGGCCATGATGCAAAAATTTGGAAATTTGGTAGTTGGTACATAATAATTATCTTTGCACACTAACACACACATTAGTGTATAGCCTGTTTAAAAAAACATTTATTCTTACTTTTATATAGCCTGTTTAAAGATATAAATAAACAGGAGTGAAGTACATTAGGATCAAGGTAGGTAATACCGAATAATACCGCCCGGTACGAGCGGTACTTACTGGTCCGATGGTATAGTGGTACGCGGACCGCCCGCTACCGGGCGGAACGCAAAATAATAATAAAATTATAAATATATATATATATATATATATATATATATATATATATATATATATATTTATTTATTTATTTATTTATTTATATATAAATATTTTAGAAAAAGGCAATGCGATGTTGCCGAAAAAGGTGACGTTCGACGACGTCGCCGAGGAGCCTATTTCAGATTATATATATATATATATATATATATATTTATTTATTTATTTATTTATTTATTTATTTATTTATATTTAAATAAACGAGGCAACGTCGCCCCGCGTGGGGAAGGAAAAGGCGATGTCGCCGAGACGATGCGACATCGCCTTTTAAATATATATATATATATATATATATATATATACCGAGCGAACGTCGATACGGTACGGTATTGCGAACCTTGATTAAGATAACATGCACACAATATTTTGATGCTAGAACCTCAAAATATTTGACAGACTTTGAGCTTCATAAAATTTGACTACCTTCTCTCCATGTGTTTTAACTGCTTAATCTGAAAATTTTAAGCTTACCAGCAACATGTAGAGCATAGTTACTAATTAGCAAATTAATGAATAACTTTTCTAGATCAAAGGCATCTTTTCCACCTGTACAAGACATATATTGATAATTTATTAACAAGAACTGCACGCAATAACCATGAATTACTTTCATAAAACATAAATGAAGAGCATAATCAATTAAAACAAATGTAAATATCACATACCTCAAAAAGCCAGTGGAACTGCCGAACAGCATCTGCAGTGCCCTGAAACCACCTTTTTCCTTCCACGCCAGGAGTTTGAGTGGCTGCTAGAACCTGAAGTGAAAAGGTGGCAATATTGAATTCTGTTGTTATTTTAAACTATAAAATTAACACACTTCTCTCTGTTTAATTATGTATACATATTCTGATTTCCATTTTTTTAGTTTCTTGTGCAGTTATATAAAGAGAAAAAAGACCTGGAAACAACACAGGGAAGTTAGTAGATACATACCAACAATTTATTTAAGCTAAAGACACTTGCCAACTTAAGAACATTGATATGTGTTCTAACTACAACTTGAGCATGTATTGGATGTCTGAAGTATGGAGACATGATAACTACTTTAATCCACATGCTATAGAAAAGTATAAGAAGTTAAGAACTATATTTAGCAAAGTCAAAGCAAAAAAGGTGGTCTGACAAAAGTGATTTCAGTATATATTAAAACCCATCAAGATATCTATTTGTTTCAAGAAATTTGCCAGTTAGAAAATTTTAGTCAACAATGTTTTATGTTTCTTAATTTGGAAGGATCATACTAGACAAGATTCTGTTCTGTTGGGAGTTTTGCCTGTTAAATTGATATGACTAGTAATGTATGTGAATGGCGAAAATGCAATTTGCATCATCAATGGGATGGCTCAGCATGTACCATGTGATGATCCATATTCATATTTCTTCAATAATGTCTGCACTAAATCATCTAACTAAAGCAACCTTTCCTCATGTTCACAAATTATCAGTTTAAGAATGACAACTCATACTTAATTAGTGCCATTTTAATATACATGTAGATGTAACCCAACCAAGCACAACCTTAATATACATTCCATTTCATGATTTTGGCAAGTATCCTAGTATATGCATGTTAAATTTTAAAATGCATGTAAATGTGCATTACAACTATATTTAAATAGACTTTTTTTTGTTTCCCAGTACAGTTGTATTGACTGTATCTTTTTCTGAGGCAAATTACCCACAAGAAGTGACGAGTCCATAGTTTACTTTGCTACCGGTCAAAGAGAAAGGAAAACTTCCACAAGTTGTTTATGCTTGCTCTCAACATTCATTAACTTTCATAATAATCTATTCATTTATGGTCATATCAAATGCTTTACTTCATGGTACCAATTTACTAATTGTGATAATGTATTTTATAATTATAGATCTATCACATGAATTTAAATATTTTTTAATGTATAAAATGCTTTATTTAAAACATGCCATGTTTTTATATATTTACACATTAACTATTCTGTCAATAACTTTAGGATAAAAACAGAAAAGAGAAACAGTCCCTTTCAACCATTTTGTTGAAGCAAGAAAAAAGTTACTGCAATTTCATTGCTTTTGTTTCTTTTAAATACCTAATTGTCACTACTCTTCATGGTATATGACTCTTGCCTAGCACATTTATGTCTTATAAACTTAATTTATTGGATAATGAACATTAAAAAAATGATTCTTCAGATAAGTAATTCAGTTTATAGTATTTTCAAAATTATTCATGGTTTACTAATAGCTTTGTTACTCGTCACCATTTTACAACCCATTCCTCTGTTAGTAAGGACAACAAGAATCTAAGGTCTTCTTAAAGAACTAAATATATTGATCATAGCTCGATTGAGATAAATTAACATGCCCAGGAGAAGTTTATCGTATTAGCTTTAATCTGCATGCTCCTATAACTGATGTCCAAAATATCTTCCAGAGTAGTTCGGATCAAAAACCAACATATTAAGTGTATGACTGCTAATGAGCAAGATCAACGTAGAAGTCTCATATACCTCAACAAAACCATCCCCAAAGCTCACACCATTACTGAAGTTGTAAGCCCGTGCCAGATGTCTATTCAGCGATGCAGAGTTGAACTGGGTGAGAATGTACACTTTATTGATCCCACTGTTGATGCAATTGCTCATCGGCACATCGATCAACCTATATGCACCTCCTATAGGCACCTACAAAAGGAATCTTCTATATGAAAATCATGGTTTCAAATTCAAACATTTATGTACCTTCAAAGAATACATATCGAGATTACGGGAACCGTTTGCTCTAATGCACTCTTTAATGAAGATTGACTTAAATTCACCAATACAATTACACCCTTTAGAGGTGCATAAAAGATGGTTCATCGGAGTCAATGTTGGGGCTAGCAATAGCCAATTTGCAGCTCCAAGAGTCAAAGATTACTTACAGCTGGTTTTGCCCTACGCTTGGTAAGAGGGAATAGACGAGTTCCAGCACCTCCACCTAGGATAACTGCCACAACCGTCCCAGGGTTCCTCCTCTCAAGATCCAAATCTCTAAACTGCAAAAGACACAAAATGTCAGTGTTTCTATCGTTCATATATGAAGTCTTATTGTGTTAGGATGCTTTTCAAGGGGGCAAAGTTTGATGCTACGGCAATGCTATCGCCAAAAGTAGTTGATCTCTTGGGCACTGAAATTACGATCGTTTGAAGCAAACAAGCGCTCTTCTTTTGCAAGAAAAGAGTATTTCAAGATTCTACTTCAGCAAACCTAATACTGATGGGAGGATTCAGAACAGAATGAGACGACGACGACGACAAGATGAGACATTCACCTTGACCTCCGTTTCGACGTCGGTGGTAACGATGGCCATTTGGACGACGAGGCGTTTCTCGGCAGCACCGACCATCGAGCCGCGACCGCTACGGAGGCAGCGGAGGTAGCGCTGCCAATCCAACCTCGTCCCCATGGTTTGGCCGTCTCTGGACGTCCCGACCAGCCGTGGTATTGGCCTGCCGGGGAGGCGGCCGACGGTGGCTAGCGGCACCATTCGGCTGTTCATGCACATCACCATGTCGCCCTGCCGGAGAAGAGGAAGAGTAGGAGAGTGGGAGAAGGACATGAAGCGGCGGTGGTACGTTGCGACAAACGAGGGAGGGAAGAAGGGTGGGGCTTTTATGATCTCCTCTCGCACCCCGTGACATCCCGTGAAAGCGGGAAGGCCAGCCACGCTATCCGACGGAGCTCACGGCGTCCACAGGTTCGACTGGTGGTGGAGCCCGCAGCTCCGAGACTATTCGACGAGATGCCATCGACGGATGCCGCGTGACCACGAACCAGATCGAACGACGACTACCGCAACTATTCGACGAGATGCCATCGATGGATGCCGCGTGGCCGCGAACGAGATCGGGCGACGACTACCAGCAGAGAAGCAACGATGGGCTCTCTCGGGCCGGAACGAGGAGAATATTCTGAGCCCACCATGGTGAGAATCTTGTTAGGGCTTCAATGGAAGTACAATTGAAATAAACCAAGAAGGTGATCCCTTACAAGAAAAAAGTTATATATATACATATATATAATTTTTATCTTAGATAAATAACACACCAAGCAGCACTTCGTTGGAGTTTCTTCCTGCCTCTTGCATAGATTCTGACATGAGAGACAATAATAATAGAACAGGCCGCTGCATTTACTGACTGAGATACGAAGTTACTCTACCCTTCTTACGATCTTAATCATACGATTGCTGCCTGGAAATGGCAAATGCTGAACTCGATGGAGATGATTACAAGGACAAGCTGCGTGATGAAGCCGAACAGGTGAAGCCATGGTTTGCAAGCTGCAGGCATCGGTGGAGTAGGAAACATAGGAGGCATCGCAGAAAAGAAACTCCACATGAATAGCCAGTCTTTCACACTTCACTGGCACTGGCAACTTCTTGCGAGGCCGGATGGTTGCACATACAAGTATGCATTCAGCTTAACAAGACCAGCGTGTATCAGACGAAACAAAGGCAAAGAGACATGGTTCATTCAGATCGAACAGTTAATTCTGAATACATTATTGCTGTGTGCAGAGCAGGAGTTTTGGATCCATTATTAAGTAGCAGGGACATTATTCCAAAGCTGTCTCTTTGTCGTATACAACAATAAATTGGGTGAGAAACAAGTAATTCGTAGTTTAGTCATAAAATCATTTATCTAACTGCAATAATATGTCTCGAGTGTAACAAGTCTTCCAGATTCTAGACTGCACAGACTTCCAAAAACGATGCAAGAAACCTCCCACATCTTACCAACATGTCCGAATGCCAACAGCAAGCCAGCCTTGAAGTACCCTTGAAATAGGCAAAATAGCATTTTTTAAACAGAATACGGCATTTTCAATATCAATGTCCACATCCACCTGCAAGAGAGGAACCAGTCATGTTTTAAATAGTCATTACAAGATAATGCATGCAACAGTAACCCAAAAGAAAGCATAGGCATCTAAGAACCATGAGAAAATCATACACTCATGAGAAAAGAATGGGATGCGAGAGCATGAAGTTCACAGCACAAAATTTTCCACCATGTCACTAAATTGAAATCAATCTTCTGCAATCTAATAACTTACAGTTGAAGCACATCACTGATTGAAAATCATGGTGTGCCCATGCAACCTAGCAGCAGAATGTTCAGCCTTTGAGACTATCAGTCAAACACCACACCAAGCTATCCTGATGATACAAATATATTCTAAGCTTCTAAGAACCAGCAGAGACATTTTCTACCCGGCTCACCTCCATGCTCAATTTACAGGGTCATAGTTGAGTCAAATCAGCAGACTGTGTGCCCGCTAAGTGGCAGTAGTTAATCATAATGTCAAGGGCTGATAAAAAGGTCCATCTATGGCATTAATTTGGAAATCTTGGGGCACCAATACACCACCAGTATGTCACAGTTTATAAACCATCAACAGGTGTAAACAGGGAAAGTGATCAGCAGAAAATTTAATTTCGATAGAGCGGTAATGAGGTCAGTGTTGTAGCTTGTTTGGCTGGCTTGCAGGGAGATAGAAGGGGATTGTGCAATTGATGGCTTTGCTAAGCTAAATCTGAAGCAGTTGGGTTTTGGATATATGGCTTGTTCAAGCATAACATCAGTTGTGCTGTAGAAGGCTGTAGATGCCTGGCAGTTAAATTGGGTTCGCCTTTCTGACTAGATGGATGGCTGCAGCAAGGCAGTGAGAGAGGAAAATGGAAGTGAAAAAGCAAAAAGAGAAAACAGGAAGGAATGACTTCAGAATAGATACTGAACCATCCAAAAACCAGCTGCGTGCAAAGCAGAACCCTCAGGTGTACTCTCAAAGTTGGTCATGCCACTTCTTTATACTTCCACTTTCATATATGTGTTCAGAAAAACAGACTGGCTGGGTTCTCCAACAGACCATCTCGCACTAAATTAATAAAAAACTGACTCAAACTTAGATCAATGTCACATCAGATATGCTCCAATAAATAAACAAAATCTAGCAACTAAAAGATCTACAAAGATGACCATAATAACCCAAATACTTTCAAATAAGAAACAAAATTTGTTATATCCTTAAATGAACTTGAGAGCATCTGAGATAGCCTGCATTTATCTTGATATCATCTCAAATATCCTGAGCCCATCACGGACTTGTCTAGACCTGTATCATCCTTCAAAAGCTCATTGGGACTTGATGACACCGACAAACATAGTATGGAACTCCCCCTAGTCTCTATTGACCTCCCCAGCTAGAAAGAAATGAACTTTGACAAATGAAAGCTTATGTAGAGCTCATAGTATTACATAATTCCACCTTGAACTTCTGCAACGAAAATGAACAATAAGTTATCTTCTAAAAATCTATCTCTCACTAAAAAATTATGTATCTTCTCGAAGAATCAAAGCAATGAAAAACATTGAGGCCTTGAACAAAAAAAGAATTGGTTCTTGGTACAAGGCAAAATCATCATTGCTGAATGCAAGATTGATTCTGAACTGGGAATACAAAACCAGGAAGCGGTCACTTGCGGTGTTTTTCCTGAACACTATGTTGCTAAGTGGAAAGTTTACATGATTAAGCCCATAGAAGCAAGAATTATAAACAACAATACGAAAGCTGTTCGTCTGTTTGACTCCAAAAAGAATTCTATAATTCATCAAATAGCAAAAAAAGACAAACATATCAGCTATTAAAATGTTGCTTTGGCTTAATCATCCTACATTATCATTCCATCTAAATTGATCATTTAACTTTACTGTTTCCTGCAGCCAGTCTCTATCGATGCGTGGCCACCTTGGCAGCATATGCAGTTGGGGAAGCAGACACAGACCAAGAGAGCGTCAACTTTCTTTCTTGAGTCCTCAAATGTATAATTTTGAGGCCCATGAATCCATGACTGCTCCTTATATAATTCTTCAGATGATCACTTTCCTTTTTTATTAATTAGTGGTATCACCCACCTGCTTGTACATGCTGGTAATCAGATATGATGGTGGCCACACCAATAGGCCACATGGTCAGTAGCATGTAAACCAGATAGTAAGCCATAAATGGGTATTTTGAATCAGTGATTTAAAAAGCGCCGAGCGCCAAAAGACGTCAAGGTCCAAAAACGCTCGAAGCGCTAGGCGCTCGCCCGAGCGAAGCGAAATGCTAAAATATAAAAATATATAATATAATTAATAAATATAATTATTTAAATAAAAAATATGCTATTAAATTAAGAAAATCAGGTACAAAATCACAATGTCACATTAATAAAAAGTCTAAAAAATCAAAACAATAAAATTTTACATCAAATATATTGAGTTGCTCTGTACACTTGTCATTTATTCTGAAACCTAACAATAATTTTAAATAAATAAAAATTAATAGTATTAAAATCAAAATAATATATTATTAATATAATAAATAAAAATACTATTATTAGTATACAGTTAACAGTATAGTGAGAAGAGTGTGAGAACACCGAGGCTGCTGAGGCAACGGCAACGGTAGCAGGCGACAGCCGTAGTTAAAGCGGGAGAGGCGAGCGACGTCAACAGCGGGAGCGGCGAGCGACAACAGCAACGAGCAACGATTGTGGCAGCGGCGAGCAATCGGCGAGCAGCGATTGTGGCAGCGGCAAGTAGCGACAGTAGCGGCAAGCAACGACAGTGGCAGTAGCGGCGAGCAGCGACAGTGGCAGCAGCAGCAGCAGAGAGCAGCGACAACGGAGAAGAAATCTCGACGGCAAAATCGCGAGTGTTAGGGTTGGGGAAGTCGGGGAAATCACGAGAGGGAGCTTGATATCGATGATTTAGTTGGTTTGATTGAACCAACTAAAACGCTGGAGACCAACCAGACCTAAAAATCTGGTTCGATCGCCTAGTTTAACCCAAGCGCTCACCCGAAGCGCCTGACGCCTGGGCTCGGGCGAGACCCCAGGCGGCGCCTCTTTAAAGCGCGTCGCCTGGAAATGAAGCGAGGCGCTCGAGCCTCGGGCCTCGCCTCACCTCGCCCGAGCGCCTAGGCGAGTGCCCGAGCGCCTATTGTAATCACTGTTTTGAATTAGTGTTTTATTCTTTTATTAGATAAATAACTTTTTTAGTGGTATATGCTGTTTTTTTTGTTTATTTTCATTTTATTTTTAATATATAAAGCACACAAATTAATAATCTTGATCAAAGTAGTGATATATAGACATTACTTCAAAATGATGATATGACCCTATAGTGATATGTATACACAGGTAATATATACTATATATAAAACAAATGACACACATGAATGACAATTACTGAACCGTGACATAAAGTAGCAATCCAACTAGGTTATCCTCATACCACATACTCATACCTCTAACAAACACCATAATGAACCACAATCCAGGTAACTATTTGGCCATAATGCTAGAAGCTTAATAAACAGGCACTGCTTCTTATCTTGTTACCTATACATGAACAGGTTATATATATACTATATAAAACAAATGACACATGATCAACTACAAATAAACGTTGACACAAAGTAGCAACCCATGTACTCATACCTGAACCATGTGACACAACTAACTGTAATCCAGTAAACCATATGGCTTAGCTTTTGCCTCTTAGCGTGTTAGCAAAGTCAGCAAATGTTCCAAGCTTGAAAGTAAGCAAATGGCTATACGAATGGTTTCTATTTGACTAAGATTGGTTTGGTTGGACAATCGTTCACACAAATCTTACCATAATTATCTACCAGCAAGAGGCATCAAAGTCCATCAACTAGTAAGCATTTGTTGAATATAACAAATATAAGGCATGCCATGATAAACTTAAGTATGATGTTAATTAAGCTATTACAATCCATGAACATTGAAAGAAGCAATAAAACAAAATCATGAAAGAAAAGTCACTAATTGTTTTATAGCTTGTACTTAATTGAACAAAATGTAAATACATATAAAAAGAAGCTCAATTTTCCTAATGTCATAACAGAATCAAATACCAGCCTAAGAAGAATGAATACAGAAGGCATGAACAATCGGTTGATGACAAAAGATTACCATTCTTGTCCTTCTGTCCTAAGTTGACTATGTGATACAAGTATCGGCAAGCAAATATATCAAGAAATAAAACAAATTAGAGTGGAAATATCTTATTTAGATGTTTGAATGTTGCAAAGTTAGTTGGTTTATCCTGAAAGATTGTAAACCTGATTGTGGCCTCATCTTTAGGCATCAAGTTGTTGCCTGAAACTTCTGAAGCTTGTCACAATATGGTGTTTGGAATGACAGGCCCCACTGCCGCCTCTGCAACTCAACCCGGCAGTTCTGTGAAAGGATCCCAACATAGTCTCTCTCCACACGGTCTTCCAAAGCAATGCGTTTTGGGCTCTGGTAAGGATATTCTTCTTCAAATTTCACCGACTTAACAAAGTACGCAACGCCTCTTGATGTCTCAAGCTTGTGCTCATAAGGATAGGAACGAGAGAACGAATACAAGGGTTCAGAAGATGGAAGAAAGTTCAGCAGTAACAGAATGATGACAGGCAAAAGCTGTATGAGCATCCGGAGGTTAGGATTGCCGGAACCACGCATCTCTTGAGCGCTTGGCCCACCCATGCCACCAGCTCTAAACCGGAAAGTGCCGAAAGGAGTGGCAACCGGAGGCCCTCCACCGAAGAAGAAATTCCTAAAAATCTCATCAGCGTCAATATCCTCGTCATAGAAGCCATTGAACCCGCGATTCCTATGCCGTGCCGCAGGCCGAGTGAGAGTAATCTCGTCCGATCCGACAAGATCGTACCTTTTCCTGCTCTCCTCATCGCTGAGGCATTGGAAGGCCTTAGAGACCGCCTTGAATGCTTCCTCGGCGCCGGGCGCGTTGTTCTTGTCCGGATGCACCTTCAAAGAGAGCTTGCGGTAAGCCTTCCTAACTTCCTCCACTGTGCATCCCTTCTCCAGCCCCAAGATCTGATAGTAATCTTTTTCCTTCTTGATCTGCCTGACGACGGTTACCTGCTCCTCGGTGTAATCCCTGGAAGAAACAGAGCCATCCGAGGAAACCCTAGCCTTGGAACGAGAAGAGGAGGCGGCGGCAGCTGCCGCGCGAGAAGAAGCACCACCGGAGGGCCCGTCAGGCTGGGAAGAGTCCGCCGACGCAGCGGAATCATCGGCACCTCCAGACTCACCATCGGCGGCAGCGACGGCGGAGATGAGATCGTCGATCGGTAGAGCGGGATCGAGACGGCGAGCCTTGGAGAGGAATTTAAGGGCACGAGCTCGGTCCCCGGACTCCAGCGCGTCCTTCCCGATCCGAAGGCACTTCAAAGCCTCGTCTTTGTTCCCGTCCATCGCGATCAAAAAAGAGATTGCGTCCGAAGGATGGTGAGTTCCCTATACCTAAATGCAGAAAGAGGAAAAACCATCAGACATAGCTAGAATTGAATCAAGAACACAACAGATCCACCTTACACGGGAACGGGATCGGGACGACCTTCCTCTCCCGAGCGCGGGAGGGCACGCGGGGGCTCCGTTCGCCGAGGGATAGATCAGCGGCGATCCCCCGATAAAGGCGGAAGCGTTTTGGGGAAAGGGAAGGGAAGGGAAGGGGGAGCGGATGGTTCCGTGCAGGTGCGGGGAGAGACACGATATGATGAAGCCCGGATCGATTGAACGCTGTTTTGACTTTTGACCCAATTCCCATCCAAATAACAATAATAACATAATTACATTTAATGATATAAATTTACTATTTGCTATTGTTATTAGGTAAAATTATATATATCTCGAAAGTAAGTGATTTTGGTATTATCTTCTCCAAATTTGTGTGTGTATATATATATATTTTATGTTGCTTATCGCATTACTTGCCACTCTATTATTTATTTCAGAGATATGGTTGTTATATTGTTGTCAATCATATTATTATGGGAGAAGCATTATGGCCAATCTCGCTATATCATCATGGGGGTACGCCTCCTAGCTAATTCGATTGCATCATTGTTCAAAAAGGTTTTATGGTCAATTTGATCACATCATTTTAGATATGGATGCTTACATAGTCATATATACAATTATTACTCATAAGGTCAAAGGATTAAGTCTTTCCTTTAACATTAATTTGTCAAGTCAAATTTTTTATTATTCAATATACGAAGAGGATTTAGAGTCAATCAGGATCCACCTTTGTACTTGTCATAAGCTGTAGTGTCTAGAAGACCCTACAAATGATCTTGTAAAATTACGTCAAGATTGTGCCCGACAAAATCCCTTATGATTCCTAAATAATGATTTCTGAATATTAAAAAAAAATATAATAAGAAAGTAGGAGAATTCTCTCACACCAGGGAGATTTTATAGTGTGTTGGGGGTTATGGTTAAGTCGAGGCTATGGTTGATACTAAAAATAGTTACGTGGATTTTTTAACTATTAATGAGTTATATAATTGTACGTAGAATTATTGGGGCTTCGAATATAATGTAATGGCTTATCTCAAGATGTGTCATCAAGCAGCCTACATGTCATATCTCTATATCGTCGGCCCTTATCATTTTGTGACATATAAAGAATTTCGAGCCTAAACGTTTTATACGGTAAGCTATCGATCATATTACTTATTGCTCTATTTCTTATATTATTTGATGTTTATTCTAGAGTTGATAGCTGCCACATAATCATCGAAGGATATTTCGTGCTTATCTCAGGTGTGATGTCATCAAGAGATATTTTTGTGTCAATTTGATTAGATCATCATAGGGAATACTATATGACCAATTAGGTTGAACGCTTTATAGTTATTAACCACAAGATTGAAAGTTGAAGCTCTTCTAGTGTTAAATTATTAAATTAAATTTTACCTCTCTGTAAAAGGTTTGGAGCCAATTATGATATGCTTACGCACTTACTGTAGGTTATAGTGTCGAGAAGATGCAGTTTGATAAACAATCCCGTAAAATTACATCAAGGGCATGCTCGATAAAATCCCATATAATACCTAAGTTTGTAATTGGTTCAAATGACTCAGAAATATAGTAAGAAATTAGGAGAGTTAGGATATATCTAAGGCTTTTATAATGTGTTGAGATAACCATTGAGCCTAAGCTATATTTAGTTCCATGAATAGTTCTAAGGATTGTCGGGCCATTATTGAGCTATAAAATCATGCTTCGAATGTTAGGGTTATCGTTATAGGGAAAAAACTCATTTTGAAATTGGGACTACTATCGAGCTTCTATGTTGGTATAGAGTCGACACTGCATCATCAATATTGTAGGACAATGATTTGGCTAATGTGTTAGATAGGCATGAAGCATCAACCAAGTGGGTACAATGTATCATCAAACAACCTATCTATCATATCCTCGTATCATCTCACCCCCACATCTTATCACGACACATAAACAAGGTGAGGACATGATGTTTCATAAGATTTTCATAAAGGATCTATGAAAATCATTATTTTAATAATTAATCATTTGATTTTAAGAAAAATATTTGATAATTATGAGTTAATGACTCGTCGTTAAGCTATAGTAACATACATTATATCATCTCTATCGAGGAGATTTGTCTATCGATTATATGAGTGTGATGTATCATGTGACATTATATATTATGTGTTATATTATTTTATCAAATGTTATTGGAATTATTCCACAAGAGGAAGTATTTTAAATACTATTATTTTTTATTATTTTTATTAGAGGGACAGAGGGAAGAAGGGAAATTTTTTTAATTTTATTGAAAATAACGTTAGATTGGTAATGAAAATATTATGGTGAGGAAAAGGAAGGAACGTTTTCCAGTTGCAATGGGTGCATCGGTCAAAAGGTTGCCTTTTATAACTAATTAAATATTAATTAATATGAGCACATAAACATGACGCAGGTCGAATGTCATTATAAGCTATCCAATGAATCCACCAAACTTTTGTGATATTTCAATTGATGATGACACTTACCATATTTAATAGGTTCATAAAATAAGATAATAAAATCTCTCCAAATTAAGCTTTTGTGATGTTTCAATTGATGATAACTAATGACATTAATAATGACGAGCGATAATATCATGAGTGATTATTAAGTAAGAGATGAAAATACGATCGATATATAAAATAATCATAACATATTCTAATTCAAAACAATCACCCACAATCGTAACGATATTATTATTCATCACCATCAATTAAAATATTAAATTTTTTTTATTATTATTTTTTATATATTTTATTAATAAAATTAACATAAATAAACCTATACATTTCACCTTCATAATTATAAAAATATCAATAATTTTTTTTAAATATAAAAACTAAAATACTAAAAATAATTAACTACAAAAATAACATATAATTAGCTCAATTTTACACTTCTATTCACGGATAACATATAAAATTCACGAGGTTCACAGAGTAACACCGTGAATAAAGAGTCCTTTATGCAAACAGAGCAACAATCGTATGAGAGATCCTATGCAGATCCGATATCCGTGAATATTTTCTTCTCAGCACAGAAATTCAAATAACTTGGCAAGAAAGATACAGCACATCGAATTTAATTCAGCACACAACTCACCAACAAATTTTGCTGCATAACGTAGGCAAAAGCCTCGAACCAATTAATCCATCTACTCTACATCACTTTTCAGATTAAAAGCTCCAGCCCTTGGCAAGTAAAAACCCCTGAAATGGTTCAAACACTTAAAGACTGCTCAACACGACTCTGTGAGACCTCACTGAACTTGGACTTGAACCAGGAAATCCTAATCAAATACATCATCATCATCATCAGGAAGAGGCTGGGCAGCGGCTGCAGCCAGTTCTGCTTCATGCCTATAAAACAAAGATTGGCATGGTTAGATGGTTGATGCTATCCTATATATTGAAATTTTCAAAAGACATGGCACAAATAGTAGATGGATACAGTGAAACCTTGAACGTGCTATAAATATAAAAATGCCACAAAGCTCGGCAATCATGGGCCATATAAAGCTAATTAGCATGCATGAGATGGTAACATGAGGCAAAGGGACATGAGTCATGACCTGATATGTGTGCTTTACTAATATTAATAATTAGGGAAAACAGGGGTATGAGACCATCAAATATACAGACATAACAAACCCCGACTACATGTAATACAAACAGATCAACAATTTGTTAGGCTACATGAATATGAAAGTCTCAACTTCGGAAAACGGTAACATGGGCAAAGAACCATGTGTAACTTCGAAAGTACATCTAGTAAAACATTTTACAATTAAACTAACAGACCTAACATGAAATAGCAAATCTCATGACAGTTATTCGTTGCATTGTTTATTAAGAGTTTAATCAATAAATAGCCCATTTCATAAGCACCAAAAAGTATCACTCGAGTATCCAAAATAAAACCAATTATATTAACAGACCTAACACACGAATGAATTATCTGATGCATATTAAGAAATCATGAAAGTATCAAGGAGTTCCAAAATCAGAGAAGCATCTAACATATATATCAAAATTGCTTTGACATCATAATTGATAACTAAAGAGCATCTAAAACCATGCTGGAAGTCGAAACAAGTTTCAAACTACAGAACATGAAGCTAAGAAGCACTTACTGTTGCTGTGCAGCCAGGTCAATCTGGACTTCTGGAGGTGCAAGAGCAGGTGATTCAACAAAGTGAAGATTTGGGTCCCTGCCAACAAGATTATCATAAATGTTTTCGTTGTACAGATAATTCAGTGTGATGCTTGCACCAAAATAACGGTCATTTCTCATTACCCAGCAAGTTTTCTAGCAAGATACAGGAAGGGCTTCTCAAAGTTATAATTGCTCTTTGCAGAGATCTCATAGTACTGGAGGTTCTTCTTTCTGTGGAATGTAACTTGCTTAGCTTTAACCTGCCTGTTCTTCACATCGACCTTGTTACCACAGAGAACAATAGGAATATTCTCGCAGACCCTGGTTTGAAACCAAATAGAATAATTAGTAACTTAGAAATATAAACAAGGATAACCTGTAATATTCAGTTAAAGCATCTTGTCAAACAACCTGCACAGATCCCGGTGCCATGTTGGGACATTTTTGTATGTTAACCTGGCAGTAACATCGAACATAATAATGGCACATTGACCGTGGATGCTGTGGACAAAAGACAGCAAGACTTCACTTGTAAGCAATATAAATTGGAACAGCAATAGATCACCAACATGACATTGGCAGCTAAAAGAAAAAAAGCTATGTAGCCCTTGGATATGATAGTGGAACTTATGATCTTCAGTTAATAAGAAAAAGAATATAAAGCCAATTAGCAAGTTTGCTACACAACAGGCATTAGACATAATAACTCAAACAAGGGCACCTGAATTATGATCAGCTAGCAAGACAATCAGACGAATTATGATTAACTACCAAGAAAATTGAAACTGTCAACTCATTCCTAATGCTTTTACTTATCTTAAGGCATTCAATAACTTCACAGCAGCATTCAAATAAATAAACAAATAAACAAGATAAGCATTTTTTGGACAAGAATATCAATGTTCAACATACGCACAACACATGTGACATATTTAAAGTGCCTGTGACTATTACATGAAGTGCATCTTATTTTGTAACCTTTTTCATGGACCTAGTCATAGAGCTTCTTATATGCCTAACTATTTCTCTAATTCCTTCTCAAATTTGTGCTACTTCTTTGCTTATCTTCAAAGTTCAGCATAGTACAAGGAGTACAATGAGGGAAAAATGAAATCTTTTTAAACAAGCTTTAAAACCATCCATAACAAACAAAGGAACTTCCGAAAGCCGATGTGAAGTCATGCATTGCGTGAGCAAGACTACTATTTGTAACAATTTAAGCTTCCAAACAGATTACAAAGAAGTTCTAATCAGCTAATAAACCTGACTTATTTATATAGTAAGAAAGTATGTTCATTATAGATCTAATGCTCCAGAAGTCATTCATCACATAAGTTATAGAACTATCAGCAACAAAATAAGCTTCTATTGAACAAGTTTTGATTAGCTAATGAACTAGTTTGTATACAAGGTATGCAAATGTACTCATTATGTCTAATACCAAGAGCTTTCAATCATTTGCTGAATTTAACAATCTTATGTAGTGAGTGAGCTTCGATGTGGGCATAGGCGATGATAGGACAGTCCTTTGGTTTATGTATTTAGAAGTATCAATATTAACCTACTAACAATTGCAGCTATAACAGTTAACCAGTAAAACCACCCGTTAGAACTCTAAAGTCAAAATAAAAGAAAAGAGCCCAATACTTACTAGTAACCATCCCTAAGACCACCGAATTTTTCTTGACCAGCTGTATCCCAGCAATAGAAGCGGATCTTCCCACAGTTTGTGAAAAAATCCAAAGGATGGACCTCAACACCAATAGTAGCTGAAATGTAATCCAAGATGTTGTAATACATATATACAACTGAAATGTACAAGATACATATGGCAACTGTAATAATACTCACGCTCATACTTCTTCTCAAATTCACCAGTAAGGTGCCTCTTCACAAACGTCGTCTTTCCTACATCACATCACAAGAAAACAGATCACTAGTTGTGATGTAATGCATATAAAAAGTACATTTTTCTCCCAAAAAAACAAGAAAGTGCAAGATTTTGAGAGCGTTGCTGGACTGCAACAGAAAGAATAGAAAAGGTAGAGTTGTTGCGGAAGAAAAGTAAAGATTATGACCGAGAAAGAACACACGTCGACGAATTTAGTTCCCAAAGACCAGTTTTATTCTGAACAACAGTATCGATGGTGACTGCTAATGGTAAAGGCCGAAACACCATGAAATTCGATACGCAAAGGATGGCAAAAGCACCATCAAGCAGACTACCGATTGAAGTAGACAATGAACGAGAAATAAGATCGACACGAAGGACGTTAGAAGATAAAAGAACAAAATTTGTAGCCATAACATAAAAAAAGGGGATCCTCTACAAGAGAATTTTGATTTCGTAGCAGCAATCTCTCGAATCCCTCAAAGAAGCCATGCATTCCATGTAAAGGAACAATCAAACAAGATCAAGGCCAGAGCAAGAGGATCATCATCACAACTGGAAAGGGTTAGTAACGTGCATATAGAGAGATATCTCACCAGTCCCTCCGTCACCGACGAGGACGAGCTTAAAGCTCGGGTAATCAACGGTTTGCTGATTCGGCAATGCCTGCAAACAGTAGCGGCGGCGATCAGAGAGAAGAAAGCAAAACCCCAAATCGCCTACAGATTACCAAAAGAACAAATATACAGAGGAAGCAGATGGAAGCCCGACCATCAGATCACTTCCGGAGAGGAACAGAGGAGACGTGCGATCCAAAGGTGGAAGAGGGCGTATATGTAGCAACAGCAAAGCGAACCCTAAACTCCGAAAGCACAAGCGCTCTCCCTCCTATCGTACGTTGTCCCATGCTGCTTAGCTTCACTCGAACGCGACTCTCCCAGCCGTTGGATCGCTTCATCATCGCGAGTGATGTGCCGCTGTGATCGAAAATTTCAAACCAAGCAACGTGCGTCCATCTCGCTTCCCGGGCGCAGTTGGGTCGAGCCAACTCCGAGTTAGCTTTTACTTTAAGATTGGTTGGGTCGAGCCAAGTGCTAATTAATTTAAGATTTGAGCTCGCTTGCGTTGTCTCGGCTCGAGCCGATGGTCACGTGAATACCACGTGCGTTGAGTCCAATGGTATGATGACCGGAAGGAGGCTTCTTTTTCGTGGCTCGCAATCTACCTCTTCCAGAGGACTTCGATCCCGTCGACCACGACCACGCGTGGTTCGTCTCCCTCACGAGTTCTTCTTTGATTCCACCGCCAATTCGGAGGTCGCTTAGGGTTCTAATCCCTTGTTCTTCGTTTCGTTGCTAGTTCCGGAGGTGCGACTCCCTGGAAAACCCTCGTTTCACTGGCCTTCTGTTTGTTGGTCATGCAATTCGATGATTGTTTGTTGTGAATTCTTTGTAGAGATGAGAGGGGAACCGCAGATGGGTTTGGACGAGGAGAATATTCCTAACGATTCCGATCCCCTTATCCAGAGACAGATTGAAGAATCTTCACAGCCACCCGAGGGTTTGGACGAGATCAAGGACGAGGAGGCTGACGCTGGTTCGTCTGCTTGTTGCCGCATCTGCCTTGAGAACGAATCCTTCCCAGGTGAGTTTATTTCATCGACTAAGCTTTTCTCATGTCATATTGCTCTTGGAGCTGCCTTGTTACGTTGCTATTTTGCAAGTTCCTGTTACGATTTTTGTCATACTGTTGTGTTTTCGTAGAGATACAAATTCTGAAAGTTCTGAAGCTAATCTTGGGCATCGTTCAGGGTAAAAGATTCGATGGAAAAACAAGATCGATCGTCTAAATTCCTGAATTTATGTTTGATTATGCTTTCCCCAATATAAAGTCTGGTCATCAAGGGCAATTATACTTTTTCATCTCTTTTCCAGTTAATGGAATTTCATCTTGTGAAATGCTACTCATGCTTGCGAATCAGCATAGTGTAAATGAGCTGCGGTGATTGCATAACATAATCCCAAACAAGAAATGCAACCTGTGCTCTGCTAACAGCAACTTATCATATCTGAAGCTACTCCTAAACTTTTTACCATAAGATCATTCTATATGATACAAGGAAAAAAACTGCTGAGAGATTAGGATAAGCTCGTTGTATGTCAAATTTGTGCTTGGGTAGCTTGCTAATAATGGACCTTTTTATTTCCATTTGGGGAATGTAATAAGTTAATTGTGAAAATAACCTTACACAATGACCGATCTAATGATTTATCTTTGAGATTCAGAAGTTCAAGTTCTTAACATGTTCCAATATAAGATACAAGGAAAATTGTGTGGCTATTATACCTTATATTTACACCTGGATTGGCAATCAGTAGTATTATATTAACTATGATATATGTTCATGTTTGTAAGTTATAAAAATTTCCAAGGATATGCAACCACTAGCTGATTTTCTCTAGTCCTCTGTTAGATTATTATTATTCTATGTTCTTGATTAAGACTCAATGAGAGCAATTAGGTGTTGCTTTAACTAGGTGTCATCTGAATTAGACTTGTGATTGTGAACAAGATGAAGATGAAGATAAACTGTGATTGTGAGTAAATTGTAGTGCTTAGTCAGAAATTGGTTAGATAAAGTTAAAGGTTGGGTTGTCAAATGGAGGGAGTGAGGAACTTCTGTATAACTGTTGACAGTCAATGGTTAGATGTATAACTTGATGCACATACACACCGTCAGATCCTCTCAACTCAAATATACAGCATTTCATCCAGGTTATTTAGATATTTTCATAAGCTAACCTTTTTTTAGCTGGTATACAAAATTGAATGATCTCAAAATTAGAAGTTTGCTATTAAGGCATATTGTTTGCTGTTTTTCGTTTCCATATGACAAGCATGTGTCATTTATGTATTGTTGGTTGCTTTGCTGGTTGACAGACCTTACATTGTAAATTAGCAATTTTAATATCATCAGTGCAAGTTAACCTTTGTTATGTTTTGTTGTAGGTGATGAGTTGATATCTCCATGCATGTGCAAGGGCACCCAGCAATTTGTCCACCGTTCATGCCTTGATCATTGGCGTTCAGTGAAGGCAAACTTATTTAGGCTTTTATTACAATTAATCAATTTTTTTACCTACAGATAAAAATTGGCAATGATATGCCATTCTTAGATTTGTTCATTACACACCATAGGTCTTAGACCAACAAGCAAAATGTTGGAGACTCTACAGCAGTTTATCTGCCTTTAAATTTGAGATAAATATATTCTGTTAAACTGTTATTAGGTTAGTGGAATAGATTGTTGCAATCAAGGATTGAAATTTCTTATCGTACCGGTGTTTCGATGTTTGCTCGGTACGGTACAGTACGGGCGTACCGAGCGGTATGCTAGGGCATACCGTACGGTATGTTTAAAAAATATTAAAATTAATTTTAATATTAAATAATATTATATATATATATATATATATATAATCACAGAAATATAAAATAGTTAACGATGGTGCGCTTAAAACGATATTAAATATATAAAAAATATATAACTTAGCAATGCCTGCTCGAACCCTAGGTGAATAGCTGTGGCATCGAGGGATGGCAGCGGGCGCCACAAAGAAGAAGTAGAAGAAGAAGAATCTTCTTCGGTGTCGAGGGAACGATGGTAGCGGGCGTCGAAGAACTACGGCGTCGAGGGATGGCAACAGGCGCCGCAGCGAAGGAGCGGAAGAAGAAGAATCTTCTTCGGTGTCGAGGGAACGATGGTAGTGGGCACCGAAGAGCTGCGGCATCGAGGGAGCGATGGCAACGGGCGTCGTACTGAAGAAGAAGACGGCAAAGAAGGAGGAGAAGGAGGAGGCTATGCCGGGTTCCATTTCTCGAAGCTTCTCCCTCTTCTTCGAACGCTTCTTCTTCCTCACCTCGTCGCAGTTGGGTTGATACCGCTCGATAGCAGGCGGTTCGCGTGTTGATCAACTGACGGGACCGGTATGTACCGTTGTTATGTGCGGTACCATTCGGTATTGCAAACATTGGTTGCAACCTAGGAAAGGAACTGAAGCTTAACAACTAACAACTCTTCCAGGTTTTCCCTGGCATTAGAACAAGCAAAACATGGAGTGTAAGAGTAATTTTCATATGAACATGCTCTTTGGAAAAAATTCTACTACTAAATGTGGCATGTGAATATTAGTCAATCAGTATTGTTTTAGTAAATTTGTTAAAGATAATGACAAAAGGGAAGATTCAGTGACAAAGTAAATACCAGCAGCATACCAAATCTTTAGAAACATTTTAGTTCTAAAGCCATTCACGGTTCGGTGACTTTGATCATAGGAAAAAGGGTTTTGGGATGAACGAGTGTGTTGTTTAGAAATGGTGTGTAAGATGTCCTATCAAGATGTTGGTCCATAATTCTTAGAAATGGAGGCTAGAAATTTGAAATTGTTGATCTTGTAAAGTGTATTTGATATTTGAACAACAGAAACATATAAAGTGGAACATAGTATGATTTTTAGCTGCTTATTTTGTATCCATTATAATAGAGGAAAATTACTTGAGTCAAAGAATACATTTGGTCCAAAACTTAAAAGAATCATGTAATAGGACCACAGTGCTAATGTCTTAGAGGGATAAAGGGGGAAAAAGAAAAAAGGGGCTTTGATAGTATCAATTTTCACGAGAAATTGACACGGGCATAAAGAGTAATGAAGAGATTTATTCAGTTAAGATCATAGGTTAAGGATTAATAATATCTTTAGATCGTAAATTTTAAGATACCTATTTTTCGTTTAAAATAATCAAGATGAAAATATGATCTAAAAGAGTTAGATGACTGATAGTTTTAGTTTTGTTCTGAGAAAAAAAAACCCTTTTTTGTGGTCTATAAATGATGACAAAAAGGTCTGAAATGCTTGTCTTAGATTGAAATCAGAAAATTCAGTAGCTTCACAAATCATAGAGCTGCATTGGCTGTTGTCTGTGTCTGTAGATTCATTTCCTTGTGCAACTATGGAGACTGAAATTGAGATTCTTCGTTTATAGAAATGGTTGCAAAATCCTTATATATGGTTGTTTTCTCCTAGAGGCATCACGTTGTGTGTTCATCCTTGCATTTAGAACAAGTTATTAAGTAGCTAGATGACTTTAGTGATGTAGATATGCAAGAGTTGATGTTTCTCTTAAGCATTAGAGATTTAAAAGAATTTATGTCAAAAATGTTGAATCTATTCAAAGATTCTTGGTGTTGCTTGTGGCAACCTGCCTTTACCTTCTCAAACAGCCTGTAAATTTGGTTTTTGGTTGCGTTCAAAAGCTGAGAAAGTTCTATCATAATTTTGATGCCTTGGGAATGAATTTACATTTTGCCTTAATTTCATCATCATCATCGATGAGTCATACACAATTTTCGCAGTCAAGCTTTCAAATTATGCAGTTGCAAACTAGTCTGCCTAATGGTGTAAGGAACATTGTACTATAATTTTTTTTCCAATTTATTGGATGTGTTGATGATTTTATATTCTTCCTATGTAATTATTTTTTGCAGGAAGGATTTGCCTTCTCTCACTGCACGACATGCAAGGCTCAATTTCATCTGCGAGTAGAGTTCCTGGAGGACTACCCATGGCGTAAAATAAAGTTCCGTGTTTTTGTAGCCAGAGATGTCTTCCTTGTCTTCCTTGCCATACAAACTGTAAGAGAAAATTACAACCTATCTTCTGGTTGGCCTTCTTAAATTTGTAGTTTCATTCATAAATTTGTCTTTCAAAGTAGTTTTGATGTGCCACACTTATGTGCTATATTTGTGGATTGCAGTTTTTTTTCGTAATTGTTGTTTCTTGGATATTTCCTGCAAAAGTAATAGTAATATTTAATATAGTTATCTTTTGTTGATGTTCATCTTAATCCTGGAGAAGCACATCTAGAACTTAATCATTCATCAAGCATGATTTAGTGACATTCAAGGAGTATGGTCTTTGGTGTTTTAACATGTCTTAATCATGGATAACTAATGTATAAGAGGTTCCTTTCTCATGTACTCTAGTTTGTGAGCGTTAGTGTAGGTATGTACTGAACAATTTTCGGTGGTGACAAGACTGTGATCAATGTCCTTGTTAATCCTCAGGTCATTGCTACCATTGGTGGTTTTGTCTATTTTTTGGACAAAAATGGGGGCTTCAGGAATTCATTCAGTGACAGTTGGGACCGCATTCTATCGAAGCATCCTGTACCCTTCTACTACTGCATAGGTATGTAACATGGTTTGATCTTGGCAATTAGCAGTTCCAACTCAATATGTTTTGGAATTAGGCATTTATCGATCTTGTAGCTTTGGTTGGTTTGGAAAGTTGTTCTTGTTCGTGAAGGGTTTGTACTTCATCTTTAAGTTGAAACTGTGTGATAACTTCAAGCATTTAAGTTGATTGTGTGGCTACACATGGATCTTTCATGAGCTTGCAAGGACATTTTTGTCTTCTGGAATGCTATGAATCTCAAGTAGTAGCTGTAATCTCTCTCACTCTCTCTCTCCCTCACCTTCCCTCCCTCCATCTGTTTCAGAGGTAGTAGCTAAAGGCTTTATGTGTAGACATGTGTTGGAATCATTTATTCACAAGTATTTGATTTTTGAGGGCCCATAGCTACCTTTTGGACCATTCTTTTGAAAGAGTTTGTGCCACTTGACCATGTTGCTTGTAAGCTAACTGTTCTATGAACTCTTTTAGTGGATGATAGTAGGACATATCCCTGAGATACCCTTGTTAATGTTTTATTTTTCTCTGTGTTGTGTTAATTCTAGTGGCATTGGTTTGGATGTTGCAGGTGTCTTGGTGTTCTTTGTGCTACTTGGGTTCTTTGGGCTGATACTGCACTGCTCATCCTTCGATAGCAGTGATCCCTGCATGACTGGTTGCCGAAACTGCTGCTACGGGTGGGGAATACTGGATTGCTTCCCTGCTTCCATGGAAGCGTGCTTCGCACTAGTAGTCATATTTGTCATCGTGTTTGCCATCCTAGGCATTGCCTACGGTTTCCTTGCAGCTACCATGGCCATCCAGAGGATTTGGCAGAGGCACTATCACATCCTCACCAAGAGGGAGCTCACAAAGGCAAGAACATTACTAATTTCTCAGGGTGATGGGTTTTGTTTCGTAATATCTTCATTGAGCCGATTGCATTGTGATTCAGGAATATGTGGTAGAGGACCTTCACGGGTATTACACACCACCAAAAATGGATCCCGAGCATGAAGAGCGCCTGAGGGTGCTCAAGCTTCTCTAGGCAATTCTCTACTAACTATACCTGTAAAATGTATTGTTAGCACTGGGGAACAAGTGACTCTTCTTTCTCCAATGTGATGGCCTTGTGCACATTACAGGCATGTATATCTCTGGCATCTGTTGATTTGGAGGACCGTGAAAGAACTTGTGACTGGAACCAGTGCTCAATCGATCAGGAGTAAACAATTCCTCGTCCTCAGACTGCCTTATTCGGTTTCAGGTAGTTTCTTTAGCACAATTAAGAGCTTAAAAGCTTAAATTTACAGACACTGCTTGTAAAAGTGATAGTGATCTTAGATATGTTCCATATGAAAAAATATATAAATTTATCGGAGGGAAAATTGGTGAATTGATGTAGTAGAGAAAAAGGTTAAAGATAGCAGTAATTTATGGTTATTAATAATATATTGAGCAAGTTATACCCAATGTTTATTAATAATATATTAATAAAATATAAGTTTCAACATCCTTTCAATTTGTTGAAATAACACATTTACCTATATATTCCTCAAAAATATTTTAATTTAATATAATTCCTCTATTTAGATGTTCCTATTTGTCACCCAAGTTAACTACCAAGTTAAAAGATTGTATTAAAAATCTTTCCTTCAATACTTTGACCAAATAGGTTCGAACTAAGCTTTTGGATTGAACCGATTTAGATCAACCATCCATAAATCATATTTATCCAAGCACCTAAAATAGAATGATGCATGAATGTTATGCCCTTATTATTATCCATATAAAGAACCACATCTTTAGTCGTACATAACTAAATCTGAATCGGGCAACTTCAGGAAAATGAGAAACTATGATTTTGATCGTTTGAGAAAAAGGACCCGTTTTCTCCCTTTTTTTTTATATATAAGATGCTTTTATATCGTAAAATTCCAACAATACCTTTCATTTATTTTCTCTCCCCGATCTTTTACGACCGGTTTGTTCTTGGTCCGGTTCAATGCATTAAGATCGGTCTAATAATCCATCTAAATCGAACCAAATTAAATTAAATTAACTTATAAAATATGAAAAGTATTAAAATAAATTTTAAGTTATATCAAAAAATATATTTTTTAAAAAATATACCAGAAGGCATACAATTGTATAATTTAAGTTATTATTTAAAAAAATCTGAGTGCATATAAAGATTATAAAATATTTTTTAATTAAAAAGTATAAAAGTAAGGCAAATATTTTGGAAGGCATACTTTCTTAATATAATTACATATTTTTAGTTCAAATATCATTTTAAATTATAAAACTAGTGTCCTATGGTCATTTTAATTTTTAAAAAATATTGTATGTCCATATTTTATTAAAATATTATTTAAAAATATAGTAAAATTAAAAAGCCAAGTAATTAATTCTATGAGGAAAAAAGCAAACCAAATCAATGGCTTTTCTGGGAATTCACCCATCTACATTTTAAAAAGGATGAGTATGGGAAACTACCAACTTGGAGGGATATATATGTAATCATATGCGTCCTTCCCTCTTTCTCTTTCGTTATCATTTCCGTTTAGCTCTAGGGTTTGGGTGGAAGAACAATGGGGCTTTGTTGATTTGATGGGATTCCGCTTGAGCCGGAAGCGGAGCTGGTCGAAGATTCCCTGATATCTCGCCGCTGGTGAAGCGGGCGAGGTTTGAGCGCTCGTGAAGGGTGGTTTCCTTAGCCGGGGATCATGTCGCAGACCAATTGGGAAGCCGACAAGATGTGAGTTCTTGTTTATGGCGTCTCATGTCGATCAGATTTTATGGTTTTCTTCAGGCAATAGGCTTGCTTGCTTGGTTTCCTTTGGTGCAGTCACTCGCCAGGGTTTGTTAGGGATTGAGCAGCTTGATGCTGATTGTTTCTTTCATTCCTTCTGAAAAAAAGAACTCTTTGTTGTCATATTTAATGGCTTTGTTCCATTTTTTTTTGTTTTAACAAAAAAAAAGAGACTTTTTTTGAATGGATTTGTTTTGGTTTTATCTCAAGCAGTCAGTTTTATTCCCTTTATGCTTCATGGTTAATCATTTTTTGTATTTTATTTTCTGCTCTCTGCTCACCTTTGCATTTTCTTCCCTGCATTACTCGATCTTTTGCTGATGTTGGAACCGTTTATGTTCGTTGGAACCAGGTTGGATGTGTACATTTATGATTATTTGATGAAAAGGAAGTTGCAGGCAACTGCAAAAGCCTTTCAAGCTGAAGCCAAAGTGTCGTCTGATCCAGTGGGTAAGTTGCTAAGTGATTTGTTGAAAGTTGCGGTGTTTAGGATTTCTTTCCCCTAACAAGTGGATTGCCTTTTTTCTTAGCTATTGATGCTCCTGGTGGTTTTCTATTCGAATGGTGGTCTGTGTTCTGGGATATATTTATTGCAAGGACAAATGAAAAACACTCTGATGCTGCTGCCTCGTATATAGAGGTAAGATTGTCTATTTTGCACCGCACCCCTCTTAGTCTTGAAGTTAATGAAGCTTTGGACAAAATGCATTTGATTTGCATGGGCATCTTTGTTTGTATTGATTATATTAGTTGTTTCTTTATTGACAATTGTGGATCATGTTAGTATTCTACGGTGTTGCCTAATAATTTTATTTGCAGTCATGGCTAACTAAACTGTTTGAATCTTGTGGTCATCTGCCTCACAAATTCAATTAGGATAATATAGTTTGCCTTTGTTGTCTTGCTATCACAAAAAAAAAAAAATAAAATCAACAACCCTTGAGGCACTTGACTTTTCAAGTAAAAGGTGAAACAAGAAAGATGCATGTGGTGGCTGGCAGTCTCTAGTATTTGACATCTATGTCGGTTCTTAGAATATATAATGTTCTTAGTTTATACTGATACATGGTAAATGTTTTTGCTTTTCGTTTCATAGATCCAGGTTGGATTATGAAGTTAAACTCAACTCTAAGAAACAAATAAAGCAACAGCAACAGCAACTGTCTATTACAGTGGCAACAACAGCAACAGTAACAAATTCCAATTCGACAAATTAGTTTATTAAAACTTTGTACTTATAATTTTCAAGCAAAAGGTAGAGATAGATGTTACATCCTGTGGTTGCCTACATATTCTGGGAATCTGAAAATCCATATGATTTTGGATGTTAGACTCAACATCTAAAAGCAAGAGAACAGCAACAGCAGCAGCCATCTCAACAGCAGCAAATTCAAATTCAACAACTTTTGTTGCAAAGGCAGGCACAACAACAACATCAGCAGCAGCAACAACAGCAACAGCCACAGCGAAGGGAAGTGGCTCAGCTCTTAAATGGCAATGCCAGTGGGCTTGTTGGTACAGATCCTCTGATGCGCCAGAATCCTGGAACTGCTAATGCCTTGGCTACCAAAATGTATGAGGAACGGCTGAAGTTGCCACTTCAGCGGGATTCTTTGGATGATGCATCAATTAAGGTGCTACTCCAAACTGATAATGCTGTTTCTCCTTAAACATCATTTTGCCTGTCATGTGTGACTGCTTTTGCGAATCTTGCCTGCTGTGTATGGGGACGATTTTGCTAATAATTTGTCTGCTCTTTCTGCAGAGGTTTGGTGAAAATGTGGGTCAGGTCATGGACCCAAACCACGCTTCCATGCTGAAGTCAGCTGCAACACCTGGACAACCTTCAGGGTATGCTTATTTAACATGGTTGTCACTATCCTGTGCTCAGCTTGTCGTAGAATTAATTTTCTGCTTTAGTTGAATATAGTGACTTATGTGCATGTACATACAAATACAATCATGGACATCAAAATCCCATACATATTATTATACATGTGTTTATGCATGTCATTCTGCTTAACACCTATTGCATGCCTGAACCTGTCTTCTTGCTTGTACTCTTTAGGGCTTTAGTCTTAAATATGACAGTGTTGTAAATAGATTTTGAGACTTAGCATGGACTGACTTCCAATTCAGGCATATTTTGCATGGTTCAGCTGGTGGTCTATCAGGGCCTCTGCAGCAGGTTCAGGCTCGGAACCAGCAACTTCCTGTATCAGCACAGGTGTTTTTTTATCGAAATAATGATTGTTTCAAAATCTATTGCTAATGCTGTAATTTGGAAATGGACAGGACATAAAGAATGAGATAAATCCAGTTCTAAACCCTAGAGCTGCAGGTCCTGATGGTTCATTAATTGGAGTTCCAGGTATCCACCAAAAATTTCCATTAGTCGATTGTTTTCTGGTGCTTTCAGATTGATGCTTTGGAGGCTTGTTTATGCTGTTTCTACCTTCAGTCTGTGGATTCTTAAGTTGCATGCTCTTTTGATTTTATATGCTGCTTCCGCTAGAGGGCTGTTATTCTTTGACTGTTTAAATGGAGGGGAAGCGATGTTTAGTGTGTGGAAATAAGGTTTTAAGTTCCGGTCCAATATCGTTTTTGGCAAATGGATGGACTAGTACAGTACTGAGATGCTGAATGGTATACTGACTTGTACCATCCGTTACCATCGTAAAAGTAATGAAAAATGATAATATTGAGCTTATGATTCTGTTAGCAGTGCTTGGTCAGAGGGGTAAATATGAGTTGTTAGATACCCAACCAAACTTGTATGTTAAAACTGTGGAAGTCAACAAATTCAGTTGTTAGTGTTCACCAAGGGACACTTATTTTTCAGAACTTTATCCAGATTATCTCATTGTATTTTCTACGGACCATATGCACTGACTGCAAATGTTCTGTTAGCAGGACCCACTCAGGCTGGTAACAATCTGACTCTAAAGGGATGGCCCTTGACGGTAAGTTCAGCTTTGTGATTTCTGAATGTGAAGGTCGTGATTTCTTGTTGTCTTTTTTTGTCTCTTGCAAATGAATTGTGCATTTCTTTTATGGTGTGGAACATTAATCTGCTTTATAACTTCAGTAACTGCGGTTGCTTCATTAATGATAAAGATCTATTGAGGTCACATGATATATACTTTGTGTGAATTCTTTTAGATGTGTGTTTCTCTTCATGGCCATATTTACTTCCAGAAATATTCAACTTAGTCTTTGTGATCTTCTTTTTGGGCAGTTCAATTGAAATTTGCTTATTTACTATAATGCAATTTTCTTAGTAAAGGACAACTCAAAGTATGTCTTATTTTTTCCTTTATTTCCTTTTCATCTTATAGGGTCTAGAACAACTTCGTTCAGGACTGTTGCAAAAGTCTTTTATGCAGTCACCTCAATCATTTCAGCAACTTCAGTTTCTAAGTCCGCAACAACAGCAGCTACTGCTTCAGGCACAACAAAATCTGACTGCCCCATCAGCTGCAGATATGGATAACAGAAGGCTAAGAATGCTTCTGAACAACAGGAACATGGTCTTGGGGAAGGATGGCCAGACAAACTCTCTTAATGATGCCATTCCAAATGTGGGATCTCCCATGCAAACTCCAAGTCCTTTAATGTCACGTGCTGATTCAGATTTGCTAATGAAGGTTGACTGCTTTAACTTGCCCTTTGGAATGATTTTATTTCTCATCTTCACACTATCACTAGACTGCATGTATAAAATACAAATCATTGCACTGATTTTTATTCGTTGTAATTGTTCTTGTCCAACCTTCTGTAGTTGCTAGACATGAGCTTGAAAATTGCCACATGTCTGCATTCATGATTCAGATATTCTAACTTCTAACCAAGTTTCAATTTAACAGCTGAAGTGCATGCTTTAACCCTTCTCTTCTTTTGGAATTGATAACTTAATTCCTTATCTGAGAAATGACTAGTAGCTTACATTGTTGCTTAAACTGAAACAAACATCAATGTGCCAATTTGTCCTATGATTGATGTTCTTGGGTTGATCTTGTGGCAGAAGGTGAAAATATAGGTTTTGAAACCATAATGAAGAGTAATCCTAACTATTATTCCTCCTCACAGCTGTGTATGCAAGATAATTGCAAACTTCATGGGAATATTTAAAATAGTAATTATTGGATCAAGGATTAAAATCTTGATCCAGTAGCGATACTACTTGACATTCAGACTGGTATGGTATTGGTTCTGTACAGTGTACCAGTGCTTGTATGGATTCATACTGGTTGGTATTGTTGGACCATTGAGGAGGAGGTGAAGTAGGGGGAGAAGGGGAAGTGGAGTACCATGCAACAGGGGAGAGGCAGTGATACAACGATGCAGAGGAGTGACGGAAGCATTGATGTGGACGAGCAGCGGAAGAGAAGAAGACAAATTAAAAAGGTACATGTACCAGTACCAGGTGGTAGTCTTGCCACCGGGTATAGCTCAATACTGGTTATCTTATCACTCAATAAGCTTGGTTGAGCAATAAGCCTGGTGCAGTAAGCTTGTTGGGCAGAAAGTTTAGTTCAATTGGTCCGTGCATTATTCAGCCGTCAAACCAGTAAAAATTGGTCTGCATTGACCAGTATGGGTGAAATTTAGATCCTTGAGATGGATAATGAGCAGTAGGAATACGGAAGAAAAACGAGAAAATTTTTCACCAGTCCTATATTTTATTTTCGCTCAATGGTAGGGAGTTCTAAGAACTCACTTATGTGAAATACTTGCATATGAGAACATTCAGGTCCAAAGTAGACTCCCATATATTTTATCTTCTGCGAGAGGATCCTTTCTTAAGTTGCTCCAGGCATAGTGCACTTGTTTAGCTGTTTTTGGTTGGAAAGCTTGCCAAGTTTCCTTTCCTTTTCTTGGTTTTTTAAATCAAAGACATGATTGATAGCTTTCTACCACAAATTAAGCTTGTAGCATGGACTGCAGTAAGTGTCTAAAGCTAGTAGCTAATAAAACAAATTATGATTAGTATGACTTTAAAATTTTCACACTAAGTAGTCTGATTATTCGAATGCTGTTTTTCTACTTAGTTTTACAATAAAAGACAAGATAACAAAGGATTATGTTCATCTCAAGTGAGATGTAGGTTCAATTGATACCATAATATGGTGTAATTATCTCAAGTATTTGATAAACCTTCTAAGAGAATTGTTATCTGTTCTAATAAGAATAGGTGTATTAATCGAGATTGGACTTCATGATTCAAACTATCAAAAAATACAACTATCTAAACAAGCTGTAGGTTCCAACTTCCAACTATTTGGGTTAGCTACGTGGATTCTTTTTTGTCATTGATTATTTGTTGAGAGCACTATTGCTAGTTAAATTAAGAGACATCAGATCCCTTCTTATTGTTTCTAAGAGTCTTTCGATGCATTTATCTGCCTGACAGTTATCTTGAACTGTTTATGGGTCCAATATACAGAGCAACCGTTGATGGTTTTCCCCAATTTATCTTTGCTTGAACTGTTTATAGGTCTGATATATGGAGCAACCTTTTTCTGCCTCACCGGCTGGATTTCCCCAGTATATAGGTCTGAACTGTTTATAGGAATATCTATGGTGAGAGGAACAAAACATAATTTTTCAATTGTCTCTCCTTGTTGGATTTGAGTTATGGAAATAGCTTTTTTCCAGATGCATGTCCGTGTGTGATGATCATCCCAGATTTAACAATGTCCGTGTCCACTGGATCACTTTTTTTCCCTTCTTGGATAAATATAAATGTCGAGGATAGGTTGGCCCTTAATGAATAATTTATATGATACACAATAGATCTTTTTTACAAACTTGTTGGAGCATTGTGGATACTGATGTAATAGCAATAATCAAAGTGTTTTTTCAAACTTCAAAAATGCTGAAAGAGACTAATGCAACGTCACTCACTTTGAATCTTAAGGTCAGAAATCCCGGTAGTTTTATGGACATTATACCTATTTCTTGCTTCCATCACTTATAAAAGTCATTAGTAAGATCATGGCTATTATAGTTAATAAAGTAATCAGAAAAATAATTAGTGAAGTCCAATCTTCCTTCACAAATAGAAGAATTGCTGAGAATATCTTGTTAACTCATGTTCTTGTCTGGAGCTATCAGATGATGGGGGACTACACCAAGTTGTTTGCTTAAGATAAATGTATAAAAGGCATATGATTCATTGGGCTTTTTTATTGAAATAATACTGATTCTTTGTGAAGTAATGTTGCATATGTGGTGGTCGGTTTGGAAACCTGATGTATAATTTTGAATCTATATTTTTTATTAAATTGATCTGATAATAAATTGAACTTTACCCTTTTTACATAGAAAAGTTCACAAAATATCAACTCTTAAGATCTTGTTTCTTTTTTGTTTGTAATAGAAAATAGCTCAGTTACAACCACAACAACAGGTTAGCAATCAACAGCAGCAACTTCAACAACATGCTCTTTCAAGTCAACAATCACAAAATTCAGGTCACCTTCTTCATCAGGAAAAACTTGGAACAGCCAGTATGGCTGTTGATGGAAGCATGCCACATTCCTTTAGGGGAACCGATCAGGTATATCTTTTACATATGTCAGTTTATACATAAAAAGTTTGCTTCTCTTTATGTCAATATTACATTGGCTTTATCTAAAGATTGTGAAGGATTTCACAGGAGCGAAAAATTCTTTCAGAATGTATTAGATTACATGTTACAGTGTTTGAAATAAATTTGTGATATATTTTTTTTTGTTGCACGTGGATGACACCTAATTTCATTTGATTTTTGCTATCACTAGGTTGTGATTATCTTTTGTCATCTTTATTTCACTACCGCACCGAATGCTTAGTTTTATCCAGCTAATTGGTTATTCTGCTAACAAACTTTTGGCAAATGCATTGCATGCAGAACTTTTTAGAGCATCTTATTTTTTTTGGTTCTCTGTGTGCTAGTATAAGTAGGAGCTCATGCTGCAAAAGTTGAAGGTGATATGCTAAGGAGGAAAAGGTTAAGATTGCTTCATTTTGGTTGTGCTTTAGTTTAAAATTCAGCCTGCCTTGATGTTTGGCCTTTTTGTGCATATTGGTAATATTGGATTGTTCTAAAATTGCAGAAACTGCCCTCTATTAGTATTTTTCTTTCCTGATTCTCTATGACAACAAATATGGAAACTATTTTTCTTCAGTGAGATGATGAAACTGCCATTTCCTCTGGCTTCATATAAGAAGATAGGTTGTGTTGTTTATCACAGCATAATGTAATTATGAGAAATGAGATGATGAAGCATAAGCTGCAATTGTCATGCCCTTCCATGTTGATTGGTCCAGCATCAGCACTTGGCATGGTCCTGTTCTGTGTTGTAGTATCTTAACACGGGTCTGGCAAAGACCTTCTGTGGCAGAGTACAATGCGTGTGTTGGTTGACACTGATTTGCATGTACTTTTGCCAGCACTTTACTAATGACAGGAGTATGTATGAAGACAATCACATGACATCTTTCCAAGTCCGACTGTTCCCTTCTTTAGACTGGGAATCTGCCACGTGAACCATTGGAGAGAATAAGACCAGGAGGAACCTGATGAGGCTGAGATATGATCGACTTTGTTAATATGAACATTTTTCCCTATACCTATTCCATCTGTGAGTAGTGATTCTATGATGACTCTATTCAAATTAGTTGAGCAGTGGATGCTATTATTGGTACCATACGTTAATGAGGAAGTAGAGCACAGGATGAATTAGTGAATCAGATCAGATGGTCAGATAGATGATTGGATTCTCAACATAACTAGTTTGTCTTGATAATTAGTTGATCTGTTGGATCATATACGTTTGATTGTTGAAGTACAATTGCTACCTGATTATCTGATTCTTTGCCTTTGAGTTTATGTGTGTAGAAGAAACCATGTTTCTTTAGATGAACTGCAAATTTTGAGATATGATTGAATGTTGAAATCTAAAACAAATTTTCTTTTACTTTGAGTAACTAATTTTCAAATGGATTCTAGGCTTCAAACAATCAAAGTGGCCGGAAGCGGAAGCAACCTGTGTCATCCTCAGGTCCTGCCAATAGCTCGGGAACTGCAAATACCGCTGGGCCTTCTCCAAGTTCTGCACCCTCAACACCATCCACTCATACACCAGGAGATGTGATGTCAATGACACAATTACAGCATAATGGCAGCTCATCTAAGCCTTTGATAATGTTTGGTGACGGGCCTGGCGCACTGGCATCTCCAACCAACCAGTTGGTAATCATACAGGAACATAGTTATTGCTTATTGATCAATAATAGGCCACTTGCACAGAGCTGGTATTACTACTCTGTTTAAGTAGTTGGATGACAATGTTGTTGACATGCAGGCTGACATGGATCGCTTTGTGGAAGATGCATCTTTGGATGATAATGTCGAGTCATTTCTATCTCATGATGATGCTGATCCAAGAGATGTGGTTGGCCGCTCTATGGATGCTGCAAAAGGTGCTATATTTCTTGCATTTTTTCTTGTAATTATTTGCTACTTCATGTTAAATTTGAGATTAAAACATGCCTTGCTGGGTTTGCTTATTGTATGATGTCATCAACTGCTCTATCAGGTTTCAGGTTTGCTGAGTTTAATGCAGCCAGAGCAAGTACAAATAAAGTTGTTTGCTGCCACTTCTCTTCAGATGGAAAACTCCTTGCTACTGGTGGTCACGATAAAAAGGTCAAAGCAATTTGACAGCGCACTAATCATTTGTCACTGATTAGGAATCAAGCCCCTGTCATGTCAATGAGAATTTTTGAAAATATCCTTACATGACTTATTTCACACTGCAGGCTGTATTGTGGCATGCTGATACTTTAAAACCGAAATCTACACTGGAGGAACACACACTGCTGATAACCGATGTTCGGTTTAGTCCTAGCATGCCACGTCTAGCTACCTCGTCATTTGACAAGACTGTTAGAGTCTGGGATGCTGATAATGTTAGTAATAAGTGCTTAACTTTTTACACTTTTTACTGCAACATTTTGTCCAAGAGCATCTGTTTGTCATTTGGACATCATTGTGTTTGGAATACTTTTAGATGTTTACTTACCATATCTCCATTTCTGCTACATATGTTGTTGCGTCATAACTTATTTTGAGAAAATACTCCAAGCTGTTTTTTTTCCTGGATGCTACAAAATCTATGATACCTTAATAATTCTTGTGTTGCCTGTTAATTATAACTTGGACTCCGAAGGATTTTGTTTCACATTACTGTGGCACTCACTACAAATTAAGATATTGTGATAAAGCAAGGTTAGCTAAACCAGTCGGTTCAGTACCGTTTAGCCAGTATTTACCAGTCCGACTGCCAATCAGTATACGGACCAGCCCAAACTGCACAGTCAGTTCAGTCTGGTTATATAATTTGTTTTAACTATGGTTTACGACTCCTCGTGAGTTCTTCACCTGTCGTCGGCTGCTCAATGCATGCTGCTTGCCATATGTTGCTATTGTCTGCGCACCCTGCCACCCGCTCAAATACACCTCCTCTTCCCTCCTTTTTCTTTTTTCTTTCTTTTTCTTCCTCTTCCTCCTCCTCCTCCTCTTCTTTCTTTTTCTTCCTCTTCTTCTTTGTTCTTCCTCCCCTCCTCTCCCTCCCCCAATAGGGGCAAACATACAGACACATGGTATGCCAGAACATGGACTGACACAGGTCTGGTAATTGAAACTACAACCCATGTGATAAAGTGTGCAAGTAGCTGAATCTACTAACCACTGGCATGTAGAATTTAGTGTTCCACGATGGGACAAGTATGATGTCTTGCGATAGCATATTCTGCCGAGTTTTTAGAACTGATGATTATGCTAAATCTGGTAACTGCAGAAATGAATAAACAATTTAGTTTTTAACGATATAACAACTTTGAGATTATCCACATTATGTTAACAAAAGCTATATCATCATGTTAGCAGAAGTTTTTAAGTGTCATTCATTCTGAATCATTCGAACTTACCTACTACAAGTACAACCAATACAGGCACATGTTTTATTAGATGGACCTTTACAATATTTTCTTGTGGTACATCTATGCATACAATTTCAAACAGTGACTACTAAATTATTTTCATGATGACTTGACACATGGAATGCTGTACCTACTTTAATTTAGCCATCTGCCGGCGTAGGGTGGGTGTCTTAGCACACGTTACCACTATTTTGTCTTGTGTCATTCTCGGGATGTATTGGCACTCCATTAGCAATGCACTGATCATTTATTCCATGCCTTGCTGACTGGTACAGACTGGTCTGGCTAAAACCATTTGAACAGTGCACAAAGGCAATCTGGGGGACAGGCATCTGAGATTTTTATGAAATGCTTATTTTGGAGAATGGCCAATTTTAAATTTGTTTTTGCATGACTTTTTCTTATTAAGGTAAGGCCAAGCTAGTTGGTTGTACTTATTACAAAATTGTGCAAGTCTATTACTTATAGCTGAATGAAAACAAGTAATCAGGAACAGATGATGTATCATGGATTTTTTTTGTGATTTTTGAATGATATAGACATATATAGTTGGAGTGCTTCATAAGTTCATAGATGAAACTTCTTTAGATAATTACATAAAATTTTATGGAACTAGGAAAATACATGCTATGCATACATTTGATTAGATGTGGGAAACATGGTGTAGAATGTATATGCCATCTCTATGTTCAGGATTTCTTGAAGTTTGTGCTTGAGGCTGCACAATGGAGTTGACTTGCAAAGGCACAATTTTTTTGGTATGAAGTTTCAACATTCTCTAATTTTTGTGTGATAATTGCATAAGAGGAAGGCTGGTACCTTCTGTCTGGTTGGTAACATCCATAGCAGAAACTTAGACAAGTCTTCAAGACCGTCTAATTGTCACAGAACAGAGTAAAATGTTAGAAATCCCCTTTAATATTGTTTTGTTCACCACCATCGTGAGTTTGACTTTCCCTGAACAGTGATACTCCTGCAACAAACTTCATGCAATTATCTTACACTGTTGAGTGGACTAGTCTGAAGCAATTAGGCTGTAGTTGCTTCAGAATGGCATGAGGTTGTGATTTACTGATTTGATGTTTTATTGTCCTGTAGCCTTTATTGAATTCAGCTCTTTTGACAATTTGTTTGAGTACATGAATTTAACATACAGCCAGGCTACTCACTTGGTACTTTTACGGGCCATTCTGCATCTCTTATGTCTTTGGACTTTCACCCGAGTAAAGAAGATCTCATTTGTTCCTGTGATTTGATGTTTTATTGTCCTGTAGCCTTTAATGAATTCAGCTCTTTTGACAATTTGTTTTACATGAATTTAACATACAGCCAGGCTACTC